GGACGCTTTTTTCACTCTTCCGTGCTTAAGATGTGCCCATGTGGAGTATCACGCTCGCTCTCTTCTCCCTCTTCCGTGGTGGTGGTTCGCAGGGAGGTGCGTCTTCACTCACTGCAGTGTTTGGTCCTCGGTTCCTGTGTCCTCCCTGGAGATGGCTAGAGGGGGACATGGTGAGGCCAAGCCTTATGTGTCTGTCCTTGATATGGTTTTGTCTTGCCCGATCCTGGAGGTCCCCCACTTGCTTCTCCTGTTCACGCTCTGTTTCCACGAGGGGTCTTCCGGGAGTGGGGCTGTCCTGCTCCATGTCCCATGTGCATTTTTAAGTTGCTGCTCTGGGGTTGTGCTTCCCTCTGCTGGGATGCTTTTTCTGTCACAGAATAGACTTTTTCTGGGGGCAACACTGGCACGTCTTATCCCTCGTCTCACTTCAAGTGTGGCTTTATTCTAGACCTGCCTGCTCTTCTCGGAGACTGGATGTGTGTGAGCAAGAAGTCTCTCTGCGAGAAGAGAACGAACGTGTCACGTCTCCACGGGAGCAAGGAACAGGCGCCGGGGGTGCGCTCTGTCATCCCACTTCTGTGGACGGGGTGGGATTCGTGTGGCTGTGTCTGTTGTCCTTGCTCACTTGTCAGGTTCGAGAGGATGTGCTGGGAGGTTCAGATTCATGGAGCCGCCTTTGCCTTAGTTATCCCTTTTCCCTCGTCCTTTTACTCTTGACGAGTCCGCCGTCTTCTGCCTGGGCGGGAGCACAGTTTCCTCCCGGCGGCGTAGATCCTGGAGCACATGGGAGCGAGCTGGGTGGGGAAGAGAGGGTCACTGGCCTGGCGTCACTGGCCACGTTTGGAACCTGCCTCAGTAACGCCCTCACTCGCCAGGTGGTCACTGACCTGGGCTGTCACGCCAGGGCGCTGCTTCCTGCCTTGGGATCACTGGTGGTGGGCGCCAGCTCACGGGGGGCAGTGGATGAAGGGCTCCTTCGGCGTCTGAGCCCCAGTGTACCCGCCCGAGAGTGAGGGCTCACCAGATGCGAGCCTTACACAAATCTGGTCGTGAGTGCTCCCTTCCAGGTGTGATGAAATAAAACTGTGAAAAGCTCTAAGATGGTAGGGACTGTGAGCGTGCCCAGCCCTTCTGCTGTGACGGGCGGCATGCGGGGTGCTTTCCCGGCCCCGGCGCGCGGCCGGCACGTGCACCCAGTTTCCCAGGACGTGCAGGGGGAGAACGTACAGTTGTTAGGAAATTATGACTGATATCCTCTATGTCGATGACCAGACGGATCTTATTTATCATCTCGGATCAAAATTTAATTCTGGTTTTAAATGTACATACTTGTTATAAAAAAATCTGGAATCCAGAGAGCGGAGTCAGAATTAAGACTGCCCCATCGTGACAGACTTTGTCAGTTGAGACTCCTGCTCCGCGAGCTTGCTTCTTCCCCCATCTCCCCGCGGCCCTCTGAACGGTGGACTGGCCCACTGTGGTACTGCTTTCGAGTGGTGTCCTGGGAAACACAGTTTTTTCTTCTTAACGTGAGAAAGCCAATTATGATTTTATTCCCATGTACTATGAAGATTACTAAATTAGTCCATCACTGAACAAAATGTCCCCATTCTGGTGTTTGACCTGCAGACAAATTTGAAGACCTAAGCTCTTCGGATGAATCCTGCCCCGTTCCGCAGAGACAGAGGCCCTGTCGGAAGAAGGGCCTCAGCATCCATGAGGGGCCTCGAGCCTTGGCCAGGATCACAGCCATTGGACTCGGGGGCAAGATGCAGCAGCCTTGCCGTGGTGAGTGCTCCACCTCCTGCTCCCACCTCCTGCTGGCTCCTCCTGTGGCTCCTCGGCGGTGCCTCCTGAGATGCCGGCCTGAGGAGACCGAGCAGTTCTCGGCCCTCGGAATGTGGGCCCTGGGGGCTGCGGCTCACAGATCAGAACTGATTACAGGGATAGAAAGACATAGGTCACTGGCTAGCTTCTGGGTTCATCCTTTGATCTTCCTTTCCAGGGGTTACGTTACAAAATAGAACTTTCTCTCCAGCAGTGGAAATACAGTGAAGCCGGGGTTTCCTTTATCAGCTAGTGCAGAGAAAACGTTGAAGCCCGGACTCCGTGCCCTTCACCAGCTGGAGGTGGCTGTGTTTCGGGGCAGGCGGTTTCTCCCCGTGCTAGACTGGAGCGGTTTTGGGCGGTACACTCAGTGCGCTAGTAGTGCATTTTCTCTCCTGTCGGCAGCGCCTCGTGGGGAGCGCAGTGCTCTTGGGGGCGCAGGCTGTGGCCTGACCAAGTGATCAGTGTTAGGTAAGAGTTACATCTTATTTGATGTCTGTCACCCAGCAGTGGCCGGGTCAGTCCTGCTGGTCTAGCAGGCTGGGTGGATGGGCCCATCTCGTGAGCGAGTGCCCCCGGAGCTTAGAAACTGACTTTCCCAGTCACAGGAGACCTTGCTTTGGTCAAGAATACACAAGACTCCATTGCCTCCCATGACCTTTAGCGCTGGGTTGAGAGCTCCAGGCCTACCTTTTCCCATCAGCCACAGAGGGGTGGGCTGACTGGGCCACTGGAGAAGCTGCCCCCAGCCGTGGTCAGGCCGCTGCAGGGTGACCCCCTGCCTCTTCCTCTGTGGAGCACGCTTGTGAGCCCATAGCTCCGGGGTATTTGGCTGGGTGCTTCTGTAGCGCGGAGTCCATGCTGTCGGCCCACCTGAGGTATGGCGGGGACGCGGGAAGGTCGGGTCCTACCCAGGGTGGGGGATGGTTATAACCTGTGTTGCTGTACAACAGGTGCTTTTGAAAATGGGATTCGTCGGAGTTACCAAATAATCTGGCCGAAGCCCATTTATACGCACCTTTTTATGCACCCACAGAGGCAGAAAAACATTTACCTAAGAATGATGCTCATTGTTCCTTAGTTGTGCCATTTCCTTACACCTTGTGATATTTAAATTCTCTGTATGTGCCTGTATCCTCTTTGCCAGTGATCAGGAAACATTCTCGTGCAGGCAGATGCGTCCAGAGGTCATGTAAACTTGGTGTTACTTCTGTTCGTCTTCAGCCGGGGGCCTCCCGCCTCCCTGCTCAGCCAGATCTCTTTGGCTGGGGCTGACTCAGCCGACAAGCCGCACCCCTAGATGTCTGTGTTGAAAAGTCGCAGGGGGCGTGAAGGCCGGTGTGTGTGAGGTTTCGTTCCCAGCTGTGAGGAGTACTTAGTGTCTGGTTTGCCTTCGGCTCAGGAACCTGTAAGCACAGCTCACCGTGTCCTGCTCTGTCCACTTGGAAAGGCAGCACAGGGGGTGATGGAGGGGGCGCCAGGTCGGACTGGGCCCGACGGCGTGTCCTTGCCCTTGCCCGGACAGACTGGTCCGCATGCCCCTCAGTCTTTCCTCACCTGCAGAGCATGCCGCGGGGTGCCAACAGAGGAACGGCCATTTAGACGGAACTTTCCGCTTGCCTGAATCCCGGGCCTTCCCTCCTGCTGAAACTCCTCTGCGGAGGCTGAATTTGTTAGGAGGAAGTCGTCTCTTTTGCGCTCATGTGGGTTTACCCGCCCCATTCTGTCCACAGAGCAGGTGCCTCTGCCGGGCTACGTCACCTTCAACAGCAGCGACGAGAACCCGCTGGCAGTGGGAGGCCTCTGCTACAGGGACGTCACCTCCCCGATCAATGACCGCGACGTGGAGAGTAGCAGCAGTGGCAGCCGGGGTGAGTGTTGCCCGGCCCCCCCAGCGGGGACACAGACTGTGGCGGGTCCAGCCAGTAGAGAGCAGGGGTGAAGGATCCCGCAGGGGTGGGCCGGCTGCCCTACATGGGTGCTTGCATTTATCAGCGAACGGAACGGGCAAAACTCCTGTGCACGTGTTGGGGCTGGAGGGCTTGAGCCGGGCCTCGGAGAACAGGGAGCTATTGGAGGAGCTGATGGGAGGCGGGGGTGCAGGGCCCTGGGGAGTCATTGCGGGGGAGACCTGTGGTCAGCTGCCCTCGTCTTCCCTGTTGTCAGAAGAGCGCGCCCTCTGTGCCAGCCTGGGGGCCGGGGGGCGCAGCAGCAGCAGCGAGGGCCTGACCAGAGCCCCCGGAGTCAGCAGCGAGGCGTCGCTGGAGAGCAACGAGGTGAAGCTTTTCTTTATCTCCCACCTCCCTCCCCTTTCTTGGTGTCGTGGGGGCTGCCCCCTTGGAGAGGGCAAGGCTGGTGACAAGGACCTCGTGCCAGGCAGACACACAGTGTCCTGGGCCACCCTCTGTGAGCCCCGCCCGCCCCGCAGGTCACCAAGGAAGCCTCTCGGTGGCTGGTGGGTGTGGGGGGCAGAGGGCAGGGTGGCCGCAGCTGCGTTAGCTGTGAGCCCCGTAGTGTTCACTTTAAGCACACTTCTCGCCACAGGATTCGGATCATGCCTGTCAGAGTTCGGTTCGCAAGCAAACTAAAAGCTACATGAAGACCAAGAATCGTTACAGCAACAGCGCCAGCCAGTGGCCTGCCGGCACCGGCACTCCCGGGGCAGCCTCTTCCCCAGGATCCATGCCCCAGACGGAGAGGTGCCCCCATTCAGGACCTCAGGTAAGGGCCACGGGGACACCGGCAGGTAGACGTCAGGTGCTCCGTGAGGCCCGCGTGAGAGCGGAGCAAGCCGATGGCCCCCCGGATCGTCTGTGGAGCTCGTCAGGAGGAGACGGCTCCTGAGGGCTCCGGGTGCTGGCTGCAGGGTTTCTGTTCCATCCCTCTCCATAGGAAAACTCTCCCCTTGCTTTCATACTTGACTTAGCCCCCCTGAGGCTGGGGAGGAGAAAAACAGGACCAGCTGTACAGAGGTGCGCGCAGAAGTCAGGGTGCGTACGAAGCAGGCATGAAGTGGCACTTAAGGAATACCGCCATCTCTGCCTTCCTCGTCGTGGGTCCCTCTGGCCGACCAGCTTCTTAGGGTTCTGGGTACGGCACAGCAGCTCACCTCCCTGTTTGCCACGTTCTCCTGCCCTCTGTGGGCATAAGTGGTACAAAGATGAGAGAGAGAGTACATTTTCACCATTTATTAAGGTCACAGCTCTGCTGGTCACTGGAAGCCGCAGTTTTGCCGGCTTCTCTGTGTGGCCCCTCCAGGGAGCTCTCTCCAGGGCCTTGTTTCTGGGCTCGGTGAACAGCGACATCTTTCAATTCCTTAAATACATGTTGATGGGAGAGGGGTGGTGGTGGTGAGATCTTAAGGCTGTTTGAGAAAGTAGGTTAAGGAAAATGGCAGAGTAACAACCTTTGAAAGTTGGCTCCTCCATCAAAGGCAATAAACCGGCAGAAGTAGTCAGAATAACTTTTTTCAAAACTCTGAATCACCCAAAAGCTTGGAGCAACTTGGAAATGTGGATTCAGGAGAAGCGGCTGACGTGCCTGCGCCCCACGCTCCCTCCGCAGGGCCAGGGTCACTGTGACGGCCATGCCAGGGGCTCCCCAGGGTCTCTTTCTGAAAGAGTCAGCATTGCCGGCTGCGTGGGACGACTCCCTAGCTTACAGAACTGCGTCTGACTTCACGGACACCTTGTCTACCCGGTGCAACAGAAGCCCTCTCCTCGCAGAAAGTGTGCTGAAAATAATTATAGGCACGTGTTTTAACTTTGCAGCTGCCTGAGGTGCTGGATAATAGTTGGGGCAAAGAAGATTAATCACAAAGCTGAAAAGGAAAGGTAGGGAATGAGATGTCCACAGGAGCTTTGTAGAGCTCTGACAGAGTCCTAGGGATCTGGGAGGCCACAAACATGCTCAGGGATGTGCTCCGTGTATGGCCAGGAAAGATGTGAGAAGGCATGTGAATCTGATGGCTGGAAGGGAAGGCTAGGGGAAGATTGTCGTCTGCCCGGCCGGGTGTTGAAGCTGTGTTCCAAGCCTACAGAGCTACGCGGCAAAGGGGGGAGACTGATTCGTCTCTGGTGTTTAAGGAAATCTGTCCAGTCCTTAGCTGACCACTACGCTAGCCAAGGAGAGACTTCTGTGGCCACATGAGAGAAGGAGCACAGACTTTACAGAAAAGGCACTAAACAACATCTGCACCAAGCAGCAGCAACAGACTGTGGAGAGGGAGGAGAATTCTGTCTCCAGAGCCTCCACAGGAAGACAGCCAGTGCAGGGAGGGGGGCTGTGTGAGCCCTAAGTGGGTTGAACTCCGATCCATAGCTAGACCGTAGGTAATGAAACTGTCCAGAAACAAAAGAATTTTGAAGGGAACAAGAGAGAAGTGAGTCTCTTACACAAAAGGAACTCTCCTAAGATTACCCACTAATTTCCCATCAGAAACCAGGGGACCTAGAAGACATCTGATGACCTAGTCAAAGTAATAAGAAAAAACAAAACACAAAAACAAAAAACTCCAGCAGAAATGCTATATCCAAGCAAAAACTATCCTTCACAAGCGAAGGAGAAATTAAGACAGTCGCACAGTCGCAGGGAAACAGACTAAGAGTTTGTTGCTCCTGGACCCGCCCTCCAAGCAACACTAAGGCTGTCCAGGCTGAGGCGGTCCGCACAGCCTACTCTGCCTGGTGGCACGGGGCGGTGGGGGGGGGGGGGGGTGGAGCTCCTGGCGAGGCAGCACCATCCCACTGGGGAACTTGGGGGACTGACGGACTTACACCCATGTCAGGAAGGCATGCTTGCCAGGAAGGGCTCTGAGCTGCAGCAGTGCCTTAGTAGGCCCTCAAGTCTCGGGGCCCCACCCGTCCTCTGACCCACCCTGGCTCCTTTGCCCCCCAGGACCTCGCCACGCTGCTGGAGCAGATCGGGTGTCGGAAGTACCTGCAGGTGTTCGAGGAGCAGGACGTGGACCTCCGCATCTTCCTGACCCTCACGGAGAGCGACCTGAAGGAAATCGGCATCACGTGAGTGCAGAGGGGCCCTTCGTGGCCGCGGGCCCCTCGTTTCCCCCAGCCCGAAGGGGCTAGCTTAGCTCCCAACGTCCCCGCGTTGGGGTGGAACGAGCCACCCTGTCTGGAAGTCTGCTCGCTTCTGCAGCCGGCCGGCCTCTCCGGCCCCCAGGCTGGCCCGCTGGCGCTGCTGTGGTAAGGGCATCCGGACTTCTGCTGTCCACTTCTGAGAGCTTCCCAAGTTGGTGGGAGACCACGCACGGCCTGGCCCCAGCTGGCCGGAGCTCCCTGTTGAGTGAAAGCAGCAGCAGGCGGGGGAGGAAGCAGGCGGGGGAGGCCAGCCCCAACCGGGGTCACTTCGGAGAACCCTTTGTTTCTGTCATCTGTCCCAGGATCCTGGGGGCCACTCTCCCCCTTCAAAGGTGGGACCTTTCCTAGGGGACCGTCTTGGTGGAAGGACAGTCCATGGCACCCCTGTGCGCACCGCAGACCTGTACACCTCTCTCCTTCACCCCTACAGCTTGTTTGGGCCGAAGAGGAAGATGACCTCTGCCATCGCCCGCTGGCACAGCAGCGCCCGTCCCCCCAGCGATGCCCTGGAGCTGGCCTATGCCGACCGGCTCGAAGCGGAGATGCAGGAGCTCGCCATCCAGCTGCACAAAGTAGGTGGTGAGCAGGGGAGGGGCCGAGCAGACACACCTGCAGAGAAGGACGCAGAGTGGAGAGCTAGCAGTGGGGACGCTTACCCAGGGTCAGCAGAGAGCAGCAGCCGGACAGGCAGCGGGACAGTGAGAGCAGAAAGCATTACCGCTTCTGTGCTTAAGAGGAGACCCAGAGCCCGGAGCTCAGAGGGACACAGAAGATAAAGGGGGAGGGCAGAGGACGAGCAGCCGGCGGGGACGCCACAGCCCTTGAGGGAAGGGACCCAAAGCAGAGGAGGCTCCATCTGGAGACAGGCATCCCCTTCCTCCAGCCCAGGAGAGCGGGAGTTGAGCACCAGTGGAGACGGCAGAAAGAGAACCGGGGTTGGAGGGACCCAGCCCTGGCCTCGAATCCCCCTGGCTCACTTACCCACCCCGTGTCCTGCCTCTCCCACCGCAGCGCTGTGAGGAGGTGGAGGCCATGCGGGGCCAGGTGTCGCAGGAGCAGGAGCTGCGCGCCGTGGTGGAGAGCTGCCTCCTGGAGCAGGACGGTGCCCGGAAGGACGTGCACGCCCAGCTGCAGGAGACCTGGGCCCTTGCCCGGGACGCCGCGCTCGTCTTGGAGCAGCTGCGGTGAGTGGGTATCTGAGCGGTCCCCAGGCCCAGGCCGAACCCTGAGTCACCAATGCCTGCAGATTCTTCAACCAAGGGCTTGACTTTAGGGTCTCTTGGGATCACTCACTGGCCGCCTCCGTGTTCTGGCTTTGCCCTTCTGCAGGGCAGACCCGGCAGCACTCAGGGCCCCGAGAGCCTGCACGCAGTGTGCAGCTCCTCCTCCGCCTGTGTCTCGGGCCTTGGGAGCCTGCCACAAAGGCAGAGCCCCACCTGACAGGGAGATTGGGGGTGGGGGTGTCTGCCACTCCTTGGGGCCAGGCGAGGCACTACTGCCAGGCCTCTTCCTCACCAGCGCCTGGTCTTGTGTCCGACAGAGCCTGCCAAGCGGAGCTGTCGGCCAGAGTGAAGCAGGACGTGTCCGCCCGAGGGTCCGCCCTGGGCAGAGCCCTCCTCCCCAGAGCTGGTAAGAACAGTGTCCGGCCCCGGGTCACAGACGCTGCCCTGGGCCCCGGGTCAACCGCCTGTTCCAGCAGTGACCCCGCTCACTGCTGCCCGCCTCCATACCATCCCAGACTCCGGAGTGAGGGCACCCTTTCTCTCCGATTTCCTCCCCCTGGTGGGAGGCAAAGCCCTTGGGCTCTGGCTGGCTGTGTTATCCAGGATCCCAGGTGACTTCTGCAGCCTACAGCTGGGGCTACCCCAGGACAAAACCTCACTGTAGGCCAGGGACCCTCACGCTTTCATTCCTGGGGCAGGGCCTGGACTGACCATTAGTGCTTTGAAGAAACAGCGGGAGAATACATTTTGGTGTAACAAGGTGGTCATGCAGGAACCGACAGCTGAGTGGGTCCCCTGGTCGCAGCAGCTCAGGACAGAAGCAAGACCTGCGGTGACCACACCGACCCTAGGCCTACCTGGCTCTCTGTTCCACAGATTCCAGCGGCTGGCAGGCCTCGCTGCAGACTCTGAGCCTCCCTGAGCTGTCAGGAGCACTGGAGGATCGAGTCCAGGAAATGGGTGAGTCTCTGGGAAGGCAGCCAGTGGCCTCACCCACACCAGGGGCCAAAAGTGGGTGAATAGGGAGAGCCCTGCCTGGTCAGCTCCAACCCCTGGGTCAGCCCTGCCCTAGCCTACTATTCCTCACGGTCACGCAGTCCTAGGCACCCCCCCCCACACCTCTTCTTCTCACACTTGCAAAGCAGTAACTAACTGCTCCCATCCTCAGGGCGAGTGCTATGCTCAGTGACCCAGAGCTTGGAGAAGCTGCAAGTGCTGAACGGGAAGGAGAACTGGCGGGAGCCTTAGCTGGGAGGGACGGTGAGTGTCCGTCTGGCCAGGCCCCGGGCTGCGAGAGCAGGGCGCACTGGGCAGCGGTGAGCTCCCCCTTCAGTCTTCCCTTTCCCTTCTCAGAATCTGACGTTGGGTGACTGATCCACCCTGAAGCTGTGTGCCTGGAAGACAGGAGTGCGGACAGCAAGCGGCTGTGGCGGGCCGGGCCCCAGCAGGCCGGAGGATCAAGCCTCCCGAGCAGCCAGCAGAAGCAGCACAGGGCTGGGGCCGGTGCGAGGAGTGAGGCCCCCACAGAAGCAGGACGAGGGCCTGTAGGCCAGAACGTGGGGGTGAGGCCCAGAGCGGGCAGGGCCACGGTGGGAGAGAGCGGATCCCCATACACCACAGGTGCCCCATGGAGAGGACTAGGCACCTGGACAGCGTATGTCATTTGCTGGAAAATAAAATGTAAGCTCTGATGCTGAGGGGTTCCGTCCTGGTCACGCCACACACACTACTGGCCGACAGACTGAGGCCAGGGGCAAGCCAGGCGGAGACCCCCGACTTCAGTAACCCCCTGGGACCCAAGCCCCCTCTGTCAGGACAGAGACCACCATGTGCAGAGCAGGGCGGACCAGCTGAACCCCTCCTGCTCTGGCAGTGCCCTGTAGCCCTCTGTCGGCTGCCCTTGCTCCCAGCCCCGAGTCCACAAAAGCGATCTGAAGAGTGACGCACACTCCCAAGCCCCAAGGAAGTAAGAGAGGAACAAGGTACAGGTATTTTATTTACAGAATGAAGTGCCTTTGCCCCCACGTGCTGGCCACTTCATCGAGGCTCTAAGGCGGAACAGGCGCTCAGGCTGGGCCGGAGCACAGCTTTCCTTACCAGGCCGAGCAGGTGCTGTGGAAACTTTGTTAGCTTCACGGAGGGGTCCTTCCGGACATCGGGCCATAGGAGACTGCCAGTGGTGACCTTCGTGTCTGTGGTGGCTCTGCGGTTGTCCTTCTGCACACCTGGCCAGTGCTTCCATACCATGTCCTGGAGCTGCCTGCAGCCTGTGCTGGGAATGGAGAAAGGGAGGCTTGCAAAGCAGAGAGCAGTGAGCTCAGATGCAGCCAGAAGCCCCGGACCAGGCGCAGGGCCTGTAGAGGCCTGAAGGCAGCAGTCCCACAGCAGCCGCAAAGAAAGTGGATGGCACCTCCACCTGAGACAGGAGGCCCGTGTCAGCTCCACGCTGAATGGAGCCCAGCACTCTTGTGCCTGGCTCCCAGCATTAAGTCCCTGGGTAGTGGAAGAAGGGACCCTCCCATGCACCCAGCCTCAGGCCTGTGGCCAAGACCACAGAACACACACAGCAGCCTAAAACAGCCTTTCCTGTCCCTTCTCTCTCAACAGGTCCAGCTCCAGCTGGGCCTCATGGCCCCAGCTTACCTTGGGGACCAAGCCCCAGTGGGGTAAAGAGCTTTCAAGCCTCACTCCCAGTTCACACACCACAGAAAAAATTAACCAAGTAAAAAGCTAACCATCACCAAAATTAACAGTCCAGCATTCTGAGCTGAGCCAGCTGTTCCCTCAGCCCTGGGGTTGGCTGGTGACCAGACTCAAAGCATGCTCCACAAGAATACACCGACTTCTTGACGGTCTCTGTGTGTCTACGTACCCATCTGGATAAATGGGTGACACCTCCACCAATCTCTCACGTGGAGAGTCTAAGCCTTGGGTGGGGTAGGAGAAAACGTCCTAAGCCTGGAAAGCCAGGCCACCTACAGACCAGGGTGGGCTCCCAGGAACCTGGCTGCCATCCAGCAGCCGCTCCAGGCAGTGGAGAGGAGTTGTGAACACACAGGAGGAGGCCTTCTCCTAGGAGTTCAGGGCACAGAAGGAGGGGAGGGCAAGAGACGTGTGGCATAAACTCAACCTCAGGAGGAAGATGGGAGGAGCTTCTCCAAGGCTTTCTTTTGCTTCTCAGTGGCAGCTGCCAAAGCCTCAGCCAGCTTCTCTTCCGGCATCATGTTGAGCACCTTGAGCGCAAAGAGCAGCTGATACTTGGCGGTGCTGGTAAAGGCGTTGCTCAGGAAGTTGGGAAAGCCACCGACTCGGTCCTTTTGGGTGTAAAGTGGGACTCGCACAAGCCCCAGCACCTGCAGAGAGGAGATCAGAGTGAAACCAGGCCCCCCCCCCCACCAATGGTGCAGCCCTAGCAGGAGGAGCCTGTGAGCTGCTAGGCCAGGGGAAGGCAGCCAGGTTGCGAAGGCTGTAATGGGGGACCCAAGCAGGGTCTGGTGAGGCGGAAGCCAGCGGTATGCGGTATCTTTGGAGCAGTGCAGCTCCTCCACTCCCCAGGCAACTTTCAAAGCTGACCCCATGCACCCCTGACCACTCTCTACACTCTTAAGGCCCAGCTCCCATCTGCTGGCAGGAAGGCCCCCAGTTCATACCCCATGCTCCCCCTTCCCAAACATCCCAAGTATAACTCCCACCTCCTCCAGACTATAAAATCCATAGCCCGTAGGAGCCTTCATCACCCAACCCGAGATCCCAGCCCATGAACCAGCCCTAGTTTCCCACCTCCCCTGAAGGCACCACCACCCCGCCCCCACCGATCCCACTCCCCGCTCCCAGGATTGGCAATGGCAGGCAGCAAGGCAGATGGAACACAGCCCCGAGGGAACCCCATTCCCGGAGCTCCCACCCCTGCCCCCCAGGCCCCTCTACCCTCCCCAATGCTGGAAACAGCGACACCCCACCCAGCCCGGCCAGAGGACCCTCAGGGGGACGTGTTACCCATCGGTGCCTTCCACGGGGCCAGAGCCAAACCCCGGGGCGGGGGGCGGGGCCCGGGCGGCGGCCCCACCTCCAGGCCGTGATCGCGCGAATGCACCGCGCTGATTTCCACGGCGTGCAGCTGCTCCAGGGTCAGCTGCCGTGCGTACAGGTGCGCCACGACGCGGTGCGGGCCCTCGGTCAGGTGAGAGCTCAGGTAGTCGGCCTCTGTGAGGCGCAGGCAGCCCAGGCCCAGGCCCAGCACCCGGTTCAAACCGTCCTCCAGAGACCAAAAGCGCCGGTCCACGAAGCCCCCGGGAAAACCCAGCAGCCCGTCGAAGCGCATCTGCATCTGCAAGGGAGTGCCGGGTCACGGGCGCGGGGTGCGAGCGGCGCGCCGTCCCCCGCCCGCCCACCCACCCGCGTCCTCACCAGCACCGAGAAGCGCATAGGGATGCGGCCGAAGAGCTGCCCGGGGTTGGCGGCGTACAGCATGGCGTGGCACGAGTGGCTCCAGCCCGGCCCAAGGCGCATAGCCTCCACCCGGCTGATCTGCTTCAGCTCCGGGACCGCCGCCGACATCTTGACACTGCCCCGCCTCGGCCGCGGCGCCGTTCCTTAAGTGCATGCGCGGGCCCGCCCCCGCCGGGCGCCACCAATCCGCAGGAAGCCCCGCCCCTGGACCCGCCCCTCCACCAATTGCCGACGCCCATCGGGGCCGAGCCCTTCCCGGCGCTCCGACGCGTCGTTGAGGCGCGGAAGGGGCGTGTGCAAAGAGAGGGGCTGCGCGCGCCCCCGCCCACGGCCCTCAACACTCAAGACGCCCAGGAGGCACCGCGCCCGCGGAGCTCTCCCGAGATGAGCTGGGCCTCGGGGGCCCTCGGGCTGGCGCTGCTTGCGGTCTGGGGCTCCGACTGCCTTCCATGAGTCCCATGTCCCATGCCTTTCCCCAGCGCCTCCCTGGGAGCGCCGCCCCGCAGGCTTCACACTAGCAGCCCCCAGCCCCCGCGATGGTGCCTCCACCAGGAGGGCTCCGGGCTCCGCGTGGAGCCCGGCGACCTGAAGGCATGACCCTTCCCTGCTCGCGTGCCAGCCAAGCACTCCCCTCCAAGGTCACTGCCGATCTGCCAGACCCCAAAGAGCAAAGAAAACACGGAACGACTGAGCTCCAGCTACCCCCACAGTCCGCGACCACGCACAGTCCGAGACCCAGCCTGCTGGGGTTCGGAAGTACCTTAAATCTGAGCCTAGCATCCCCTATCCTCCCCGTCAGACACCATATGCCAGGCTCGGCGGGAGCAAATGGGGTCTCCCCCATTTTCCAAGGAGAAACTTGAGAGAGGAACAGGACTTGCCTTAAGAGCACTCAGCAGTTGGTGCTGGAGCCAGGATCCCACCCTAGATTTCCACCTTGTCTCCTCCCCAGTGTCCACAACAGAAAACCTCCCAACTTTCACAAAGGAGGAGAGCCTAAAGTACTTACCCTGGGTCTGCTGGAGAAGGAAGTCGCCGGGGCTCAAGAATACCAGCAGCAGCGTCCAAGAGAGCGCACTGGGGCTCCTCAGAATCCTGCAGCAGGGCCGTTCACTCCACTCCCAAACTCCATTCTCCCACTGCCAGCATGGATTTGCTGAGTGAAGGAACCACCACCTGCACTCACAGGACGGGCGCCCCAGTGAGAGCCTCAGAGAATCACATCCATCAAGCCAGGGCAAGTGCTGGGGCGGAGAAGGCTGCCCTGAGCAGGGCTGGGGGGGGGCAGGAGAGGAGAGCAGGGGCAGAGGGTCGGGCAAGGGGTTGGAAGGACCCACTAGACGCTCACTGACACAGTGAGTCCGTGCTGGTACTGTCAGAAATGGGAAACAAGGATCCAAAGAGGCAGGACCTCTCCCAGCCACGTCCTGGGGTCAGGATTCAGAAGGAGCAACCAGAGCCTGCAGGGAGAAGTCAGATTCCAGGGCAAGTAACCATGTCTGAAGAGATGACAGCAAGGGCGAGCGCCCATCCCAACACAACCACATTTCCAGGCCACAGGCGGCCGCTTCATGCACCAAACCGCGGGCTGGGGGACAGGGGCACAGAGGAAAGGTACCCCACACCCCAAAGCCCTGCCTGACACAAGATGTTAACGCAATTCCTGGTCCATTGGCAGAAGTGTGGATCCAGAGCTGCCCACGCAGGAATTCATCTGACATGGCGTGCCCTTCTCCCCACCCTGGGACCATGCCAGGCCCAAACACGACGGAGCCACTGGAGGGCTGAGGACAGCAGGCCTGCCTCAGGGCATGGGCGAACCAGCTGAGAACGCCGGTCTCCCCATTAAGCCCCTGAGTCACAGGGGACCTGAAGAGGCAGCACAGGGGCAGTGCTGCCTGGGAGCTCTGGGCACTCGAGCCTTTCCCTGCTGGGAGGCCGCTGGCTGGGCAGGGAGGCCGGCCACCAAACCTCGCCCTCTACTCCACTGCATATGAAAGCTGGAGAGAGTGACTTCCCTGTGTCAAAACCTCTGACCGTTCTCAGAATAAAACTGTCCTTCTGAGGTCCTGCGGCATCTGCACCCTGACACTCCTTAATCCTGACGCTCCAGCAACCAGAGCCACTGGGTCTTGTTCCTGCTCAGTGGTCGTACTAGGCTCACTGTGGCCTCAGGGCCTTTGTGGGCACCCGGGGGCTCGGCTGAAACACCCCTCAGAGAAGCCCTCCTCCACCACAGGTTAACTCAAGTACCCCGTGGAGCTCCAGCTTGTCACCCGCCGACTCCTCCCACAGCCATCACGCCTGGGAAGCTTCGGATCACTTGCACAGTATCTCTGGACCTAGAACACAAACTCCCGAAGGCCTGACCCATGCTGGTTTGAGGCACGGTAGGAGCTCAGGAAATATCTGTGAAGACGGGGATGGCTCTGCTGCCAGAAGACGAGCCCCAACCCCAGAGTCCGCGTCACTCCAACCCAGAATCAGCACAGGGACGACCTCAGCTGTAATAAACAGCAGGTCACGCGCTTCACATACCATCTCATGCCCTGTCGTCCTCTTGGAAGTCACGTGTCACTGACCTCTCACACACGGCGTGCTCGTGCTGCAGTGGGGGCGCCCAGAGCCACCAGGAGCCGCGCAGCCGTCCTGCCTCCAGACTAGGCCAACAGCGGAGGTCCCTCAGGGCAATGTGCAGAGGAAGGAGCGGACAAGATATTGCTGCATGATTTTATTACTATAAATATACAGTAAAAACGAACCAAAACTAGCCAATCAGAGTACATCAAATGATAGCACATTACGTCCAAGACAGGCCAGTCTGCATCCTGGCCTTCAAACAGAGTACTGGCACCAATACCAACGGTTAGAGGCCAGGGCTGGCGGGTCAGGAGCAGGAAGGAGCGGGAGGGCGGGAGGGAGGCAGCCAGGCTGCGTGTGCGGGTGTCTGCACCTCTCGGGGTATGTGCGGGCATGAGCACACGGCGGGCAGCAGGGGAGGGCAGGGGGGCCAGGGAGTCTGGAGGCTGGGGGAAGCTGGCCTGAGCATGTCTGAGAGCCGTGTCTGGGGCAGCACCCTGCTCACAGGCTCAAATGGAGAGATGAGTCCCCTACTGCTAGTTTCTCTCCTGAGCACACTGCGGAACGAGCCACAGGGAGGTGCTGCGGTGGGGGCCAGGGCTTTGCACACACAGGCCGGCTGGGCCACAGGGCTCCGTGGACCAGTGCCGGCTGCCCCAGAACCATCCTTCCCAGGGCAGCTCCTCAGGAAGCGGGCCACTCTGCACCCCTCACCCCAGACCAGGAAAGTCTTCCCACCTCAGGGACCTGCACAGACCCAACCACCTGGAAGGTCCCTCCCGGGGCAGCTGTCACCTAGGACACCAGGGCTGGATGCCCCCTTTTTGCCTTTGTCGTCGAGAAAGTTTTGCTTTAAAAAAAAAAAAGGCAAGGTCACCTCAGACAGGATCTGCCACGTGCATCCCCCAGGCTGGTCCACCACAGGGACCCCAGATAGAACAAGTCAAAGAAAAACCAAGGGATGCTTCGGTGGTCAAGAGGGAGCAGGGAAGCCACTCAGATCCCTCCCTGGGGCAAGTGGACAGCAGCCCCACGAACCCAGCAGAAAGCCCCTCACCTGCCGGCACCTGCCACATGACCAAAGCCACTTCAGAAAAGGCGCGCGGGGCCAAAAGGGGCCACCAGTCACTACCTGCCGTCTCGGCCCCTCAGTCAGACCCAGCCCCCAAGGGCTGAGTGGGCCTGAGTGAGGAGGGGTAGCTATGGGAGGCAGCCTTGCCCCCCAGGACTGGAGCAGGAAGGGGAAGAAGCAGCAGAGGGCAACAGCCAGGCTGCCAAGGACACAGGCGCAGGGGGGAGGGGACAGGCACTGTTTCCTTCATTGACCATGACTCAGACCCCACTTCCTTTCCACCTCGGCCAACAAGACCCTTAGGACATCTCCTGTGAAGACACCACCTCACCCACCAATACACTTTTCTTCGGAGAATTTGTGCTGAGTTCTTGGGATGTCAAGTCCCCAGTAGCTAGGATGCTGGGAGAAGCTGGTCCAGGCTGCATGTGGGTGGTCAGGCCCCAGTCCCAGCCACTGAGCCAATGGGACGTTTGGGGGAAACCTCAGAACCCAGAATAGAAAGCTGTTGTCCTTCATCTTGTACCATTGACAAATACATCGACTGTAGAAAAAGGAATTTGTCAGAGGAGATAGTCCACTGTGCTCTTCAATCAAGGGTTGTGTGGCCCCTCAGAGCCAGCGGCCACGCAGAGCGTGCAAGACGGGAGAGGCCAGGGGTCACGCAGAATCTGGTGGCCCCCCGGCAAAGTCTGGGGAGCTAAGGGCTCCATGCTGCCAGCCTGGCCAGGCTCTCAAAGTGGGGTCAGCTCGGTGGCCCCAGGGTCAGGCCGGGGTGGGCCAGCGGTACGGAGGCTGTGGGGCGTCTCCATGGAGGCGGGTCTTCCTGCGGGCAGGAGCAGAGGAGAGGGGGGTCATGGGTGCCCCAGTCACCCACTCAGCCATCGGGCTCAGCTTCCACCAACCATGACCCCCCCCCCCAGAGAGCAGGGCCACCCAGCACCCCCTACACTGTGTGTGTGTGGCAGGACCACACAGAGATCTAGAACTCCAGCCTCAGCAGAGTAAGGGGGGGCGCCTGTCTCTCCTGGAACAGAACCCAGGCAACAGCACCAGCTGATGCCCCAAATAGAATGCAACAGGTGCCATGGGCTCCTGCCCCCCCGGGGCCTCCTCCCTCACCTGGCCCCTGCTTCCTGGGATCTGACCAGCCACTATCCTTCACTACCGAATTAGACTGGGACTCGGGCAAGCACAGGCAAGCACTTGGACCTGGAGGCAACTCTGTGCTCAGAGCAGCCCCCAGAGCCCCACCCTGCCTTCTTCAGAGGCCTCCTGATGCCACGAGGGACTCTGTCCCTGGATGGAGGGTGCCCCCCGCTGACACAAGCCCATAGCAGCAAGTGACGGGCACAACTACCAGAGCTACAGAGGGACGGCTGCCCGCCGCCCATCCACTGAATACGGGCTCCACGGGGAGAGCCTTCAAATCACAAACCAAGGAGTGTGTCTGCCCCGTCACCTATGACACAGACCCTGAGGTGAAGGAACTAATTTCTTAGGTGGCTTTGTGTGGGGCGTCAGCTCTGCCATGCAGCCTGCAGGCAAAATACAGTTCTCTGGAGCTCAGCCTGACCTCTGTGCATTTTCTACTTCTGGAAGTTTCACCTTGATCACAGCACTCAACATCCACTGACATGGAGACCAGGACCAACTTTATAAAAGTGTTGGGCCCGACTTCAATAAAGATGAATATTTGTCAGAAGAAACATTCAAGCAGAAGAAGAGTTCGTGCGAGGACATAAATGCAGGTGTCAGAATGAGCAGACAGACATGGAAGCTCGGGACAGCTGGCCAGGAGGAAGGCCGCACACCAGCCTGGGGCGCATCTCCCCGCAGGGGCTGCTGGGCCCTCACTGCCAGGATGGGCCGGGGGCCCTGCTGGAGCGCTCCACCCCACGCACGTCTGGGAAAGCTTGGGCCACTAAAGGCACCGGCTTCTCCACTACCGGACTTCCAGAACCACTACTGTCACGTGAAGGAGGGGAAGAAGGTCCTAAACGCAGTCACCCGTCCGGCTGGCGCTCTGAATGACCTTCCGTGGAACGGTCGTTTGGCAAGGTCACCCAGGTAGAGGCCATTTCCCAATCAGGGAGAGGTCAACCTCCCATGGCTTCCTAGTACATGGATTTCAGCCATGTGCTGGTATTCCGGAAAGTTCCACAGGTAGGCTGGGGGACAGGTTAGTCAGCAGCAACGGGGGTGTCTCAGCAAGGACTAAGTCACCATTCCTAGGACCTTAAAGGCTAACAAAGCCTGCCTGGGCCACCTAGTCCAGACAGAAAGAGCTCCGGCTCCAAAAGTCTGCCAATGTCATATCCCTAGGGACCACCTCTTAGGAGCAAAGGTGTAGCACGTTTGGAGAGTTCTGGATTCAGAATTCAAGACCCCGGGGAAGACACGGACGTGGAAGAAGCCCAGAAAAGGGCAAGGCACCCGCAGGGAGGGAGCAGGAGAGGGAGAGGCAGCTGGGGAGGTCCTCAGTCCAGCACCATCTAGGATGCCCCTCAGAGCCACCCCGCGACATGGATGCAGGCGATCACGTACCAGCTTACTCCTCTATACCAACAGAGCAGGAGTCAGGCCCCAGGGCTGTGCAGAGGAGGAGAGAGATGGAAGCTCAGTTAGCAAAGCACTGACAGACCCGCACATTCTGCAGCGAACGCACTGCTTTACAACAAGACTGCCTGGGTGGGGACACACGGGACTAAATGCCCACAGACTCACGTGCTGAAATAAAGGAGAACAGAGCACGGGCCACAGCCCAACGCAGATGGACTCAGCCCAGGGAAGCGCGCACAGGGCAGAGATCTGGGCAGGTGGGGTTCACCTTGAGGAAGGGGGATCCCGGGGGGGCCCCCCGCCCCACAGGACCGCCCACATCTAGCTTTCCCACACGGATCTGCCCAGCCTCCTCATCATCCCCCTATCAACACTGAGAACACGAAGGTTCGCTACACCGTGCCTGTCCTTCTAGGGACAGCTGTGCAGCTGCCATAAAGAACAAAGACAATCGAGTGCACGTCCCCGTTCTCGAACACACCCCGATGTGGAAGACGTTTAGCATTCTTTGCTAAGCGAGACCCCGTAGCAGGATAGAGCGTGCCGGCTCAGGAATAAAGGAAGACAGGTACACGTATGCTTACGACGGTATGCACGTCTGCAAGGCCCCCTGCCCAGCCCGCAGGTACCATCGGCAATGCCCGTGGGGAGCAGCCCCTCGATGCACATGGCAGTGCCCAGGGCACAGCACACAGTGTGCACAAGCCGGGGGGTAGGGGGTGTGGGCCCCAGAGCCTCAGTATCGCCCTCCCCATGGGCTCCAGTGGGGCCACAGCTCTGTGGCTGGATTCCGGCTTCTGCTGCCCCAAACACAGATTTCAGCCTCTCCGTTAGCCCCTCCACAGCTGGCCTGCCCCCCACCACCTGTGGAGCCGAAGGAGGCACATCACTGGCCTGGGGTTGGGGGGTGAGAGAGGCAGAGAGCCTGGTGTCCCGTTCTGACCTCCAGACACCGTGGGGCAGGGACTGGCACTGCTGGGTGCGCTCAAGGTATCCCTTCAACCACAGGATCACAATTCTTGACTGTGCTTCTAGGAAGTCCCTCTCTGGGCTCTCCCCATCCCCCCGAAGCTTGTAATTATATGGAAATCACTGAAGTTCCTTGAAAGAACTTACTGGAATTTTCTGTTGCTCTATGGGACGCTGGTCCTAAACATGGCTTTCACCCATGGGTTTCTCTTGGGGCCGGGCCTCAAGTACTGATGGCACTTACTGCCCTTGCTACCCCTGATGACCGTGCCACCCTCTGGGCTAACCGGACCCTTTGTCTGCACAGCCCACTGCTTATCCAGATGCTGGGGTGGGCGGGACAAGACACCTTCAAACCAAAGCACATCACAGCCAGGCCCGCTGCACGGGTCACCGAAAACTAGGGCAGGCGGCGGGGCAAAGGTGCTTCCTAGCCACATGGCACCGGCCAGACTTTGAGGGCATAATGGTTATTTATCTTGATTTTAGATCCTCAGATGGTTATCTTTTTTTTAAAGATTTTATTTATTTATTTGACAGAGAGAGATCACAAGTAGGCAGAGAGGCAGGCAGAGAGAGAGGAGGAAGCAGGCTCCCTGCTGAGCAGAGAGCCCGATGCAGGCCTCGATCCCAGGACACTGGGACCATGACCTGAGCCGAAGGCAGAGGCTTTAACCCACTGAGCCACCCAGGCGCCTTTCTGACTCTTTTTTTTTTTTTTTTTTTAAAGATTTTATTTATTCCTCAGATGGTATCTTAACAGGCAGCAGGCACAAGTCTCTGAGGGCCCCCGACTCCTGTCCCCCATCTTTGGAGCCCAGGACTTAAAGATGAGTATCTTGACCCACAGGAACAAAGAAGAAAGGAGTTGGGGGCAGCCAGCAGGGGGGCAGAAGCCTTTGAAAAAGGGGGCCAGAGGGGTGCCTGGGTGGCTCAGTGGGTTAAAGCCGCTGCCTTCGGCTCAGGTCATGGTCCCAGTGTCCTGGGATCGAGCCCCACATTGGGCTCTCTGCTCAGCAGGGAGCCTGCTTCCTCCTCTCTCTCTCTGCCTGCCTCTCTGCCTGCTTGTGATCTCTGTCAAATAAATAAATAAATAAATCTTTAAAAGGGCGGGGGGCAGAGAAGCAAGGCCCTTCCCCCACTGCCCTTGGGCCTTGCAGGTGCCCAGCACCCCACCTGGCCTCCCAGCCCCGGCTTGCGATGTGCGGCTTCACCTGGGCCCCGTCAGCCCCTCAGGCAGGAGGTGGAGGACTGGTGGCCTGCGTCAGGCCTGGGGCACGCAGGTGGCTTTGTGTGTGTAGCTCCCTGGGGCCGAGGCCCTGCTGTTGGGGTACCCGAACAGGGCCTACTGGGCCCATGGGTGAAGTAAGAGTGGGAGATAGCAGCGGGGCTAGATCTGCCTACCAGGCCCCAAGCAAGAGGTGGATGGAAAGAAGGACAAGCAGTCCCTCCGGCCTTCCTGATGCTAAAGTGGCTCTAGGTGCGAAGGGGCCTCACGCACAAGCCCTGCCCCAGACAGCAAGCGGCTGCACGGGGTAACTGTGTGGCCAGGGTCTGGCTGTGCTTTGGGGTCAATGGAAGGAGTGTGGGTAGAGCCAGGGAGAGAGACCTGGGCTCCTGACAAGCCAGCCCCTCCATGACCAGTCCAGCCAGACCCCCAGCTCCATGGGGACAGTCACTGCACACTCCATGTGGATGGACAGTGACAGTATACCCACCCCCCAGCCCGACTGCCCAGTGCGGTTACCTGGCAGGTAGACATCGGCGGGCAGGCGGGGCTGGCCGTGGCTGCAGGCCTCAGGGCTGCCGTCCTGTAGGACATTCTCAAAGGATGGCACCCGGCTCCCTGCAGAGGACGGGGCAGGTCAGAGGCCTATAGGCGGAAGGTGGTCATTGACCCTCTGGTCAGGATCCCCAGGAGCCTGTCTTCCCTCACTGAGGGCTCTGCAGCAGCTGCGGGCCAGACCCTACCCCGTCTCCCTCCTCTGTGCTTAGGGCCTGAGAGGCCAAGGTTTGCTCTTCATTACTACTCTCCTCTCCCAACCCTGTTTGGGGTTTTGTTCTTCATGACAGAAACACTACATACTCCTGTTTACAAAAACAAGAAGGTAATAGATTGAACGTCTCCTGTTTCTCCTTCCACCTGGGCCACGCGCCCTGCAGTGGGGAGCTAGTGTGGCCCACGTCAGACAGGAGCAGCAGGTCCCCTCCGGCAGAAGGGGGGGGTCTCAGGCCCTGGGATGGGCACAGGCTCTGCCCAGGAAGGAAGGAATGGCAAGAGAGGGTCGGGCCCATTCTGAGGTGGGGAGCCTGCTCCTGGGAGGGACACAGGTCAAAGCAGCACAATGCTGGCTGGGGAGCCTGCTGGTAAGGAGGAGGTCACAGCAACAGGGTGGCTGCAGGTTACTCCAGGGTCTCTACCATGCCAGCCAGCCAGCCACGGCTACTTTCTGCCTGTCACCTCCCAATTAAATGGTGGGGGGGGGGTGCCAGGGTGGTTCAGCCATAAAGCGTTTGCCTTCGGCTCAGGTCATGATCCCGGGGTCCTAGGACATAGCCCCACATCAGGCTCCCTGCTCTGCGGGGAGCCTGCTTCTCCCTCTGCCCCTCCTTCTGCTTGTGCTCTGTCAAATAAATAAACGAATAAAATCTTTAAAAAAAAAAAAAAAATGGCTGTGAGCCTCCTGCCACACCCCCCAAGCCAGCAGGGGGAGGCACCCCGTTATATACCACAACCACTGGGAGGTCAGGGCCTGTTAGTGGCAGGTGGGACTCAAGCCCCAGCAGGCTCTCTGTGCTAAAGCTCCCCCACTCCGGACAGGTGCAAAGCAGACCCAGGGACACGCAGAGAAGGGGCCTGGCTAAGCTGTGCACCTGCACTGGCGGTCCAGCGCACAGCCCCAGGAGGGACCCTGAGTCTCTCCGGGCGCCAGAAGGGCAGCCCGTACGGGACACACGCAAGCAGCTGGCTGCCTGCGGAAGGATGGCCGCTGCAAAGCGCTGGCTGGGCGTGAAGGAAAATCAGGCCGACCGGGGGGCTGTGCACAGGGAGAGCCTGCAGTAAGGAGTGCGGGACGCCCAGGAGGGAGCCAGCCTGCGCTCCCCAGAACCGCAGCAAAGTCTCCCGGGAGGCCTCCCTACAGCGAGGCCGCACACGCTCCTCAGGTTACTCAGCTTACCCTGCTTCAGGGCCACCGCCTCGTCCGCCTCCTCCGTGACAAAGCTCTAGGAGACAAGGACAAAGAGCGCCTGCAGCTCCGGGGCCGCCAGCCGGGGATTTCCTGCGCAGCGCCCCCGCCCTGCCCCGAAACGAGGCGCACCCCCAAGATGAGGAAACTGGCTGAGGCTGGCCCATGAGCAAGTGGCGGAGGGGGACCGGGGCACACTTCGCCCCAGGTATGGAGTCCACCCCCACAGGCACTGGGGACAGGGTAACAGAAGGGGCTCACCTCGGGGGAGCTGCTGAGCGCCAGCCCCGCCCCACTCAGCGGGGGAGGGGCGTCTGAGTCCTGGGACAGCTTCTCCTCATCCTCTTCGTGGATGGGGGACGACGGAGATCGCAGGGTGCTGGGGACAGAGAAGACAGGAGGGGAGGATGGGAGGACGTGCGGAGGATAAACACCAGCCCACCATGGCCAACGGTGCCCGTGGGTGAGACTGCACACCCGGAGGGCCCGGGGGGAGGCACATGCGCCAGGGGGCACTGTCTGCCAGAGGACAGCGGCTGGACAGTCTCGGAGGCACGGGCCTGACCCCGGCTCTGTGGTTCCAGGGGGAGGAGAGCATCACAGAAGTAAAGCCCGGGAGTGGGGGGCAGGGGACGGGGCAGGAGAAACCCCATGCTTCTTTCTGGATCTGGAGGGGCCCGGCCACGTGTGCAAGTCGCTGCAGCGTGGGGGGTTTTACAAAACTTCCACCTTTTCTTAAGAAAACAGAACCCGTAAAGAAACCAAGGGTATCGTGCAGAGCAAGTAAGTCAAACAGAGAAAGACAATTATCATTCGATCTCACTTCTATGTGGAATTCAAGAAACAAAACAGAGGATCATAGGGGAAGGGAGAAAAAAATAAGATAAAATCAGAGAGGGAAACAAACCATGTGACTCTTAATCACGGAACAAAGCGGAGGCTGCTGGAGGGAGGTGGGTCGGGTGGGGCGACTGGGGGCCTGAGCAAGAAGGCGGGCGTGTGACGGAATGAGCGCGGGGTGCTGTGTGCAACTGAGGAGCCACTGAACCCTTCCTCTGAAACTAACTTGAATTTAAGTTAAAAAATAAACACATGTGTGACAAGAGGGAGCACATGTCTCGCATCTGTCCAGCAGAAGCGTGACCAGACTCTCTGCTTGTTGGGCACAACACGGGCGCCAACATGCTCCTGGTTTCATGGCGGCCCAGGTTTGGTGCCACAGCTGTTCACCCAGCAGGACGTGCCCATGCGACAGCCCCCAGGACGTCCCGGGACCCTGAGACTCAGGGGGCTCCCACTGTGTCCTGTGTGGCCTGGGACAGGGACGGACGCTGGGCACTCGTGGCCTCTCCCAGGGCATCTTTCCAGCTGCTGTGTTCTGTGTCCTTTGCTATAACTGACCTTAGCTGTAACCTAACCTGCTACTGGTTCTGGGAGTCACTCTGGTCAATCACCCAACAAAACATTCTAAAACTAATGCCGCAAATACACCAGCTTTGTACATCTTTGTTTTCTTAGTGTTATATTTATTTAAAGCAACGGAGCGTGCATGTGAGCAGGGGGAGCGCGACAGAGAATCTCAAGCAGACTCCCCATGGAGTGTGGAGCCCGATCCCGGCATCCCGGGATCCCAGGATCATGACCTGAGCTGAAGTCAGATCGTGAACAAACTGAGCCACCCAGGTGGCCCCCTGCTTTGCACTTCTTACATGATACCACATGCTTCCCCGACCCTCGCCACGGAGCAGACGTGTGGGTTCCCACGTACCACACCCCAGAGGGAATCCCGGCACCAGCCTCACCTGTCAGGGGATTTGCTCCTTGGCTTGCCCTTCTGGTGGCTGCTTTCCAGGATTCGATCCATCCCCGCAAGTGGACAACTGGCCTGGGACAGGCCATCTGAGACGCCTGAGTAGGTGATCTCTTCATAAAGGGGGGCTGAAGGGATGGCCGGGGAGATGGCCCGAAGGCCGTTGAGCGCCTCAAGTAAGGAGATGGGCTCATAGCCAGGTGGGATGCTGTCAGAGCTCTGTGGGGACAAGAGTGGGTGAGGGATGGGCTGGCCACACTCCCCGTCTGCTGCCCTGGGCCACAAAGCCCTAGACGCTGGCCTTGTGCCCCAGGGACATGCTACTCCCCCGAACCTGCCTTCTGACCATCTCCTGTCCACTCCACCTTCCAGGGACCTAAATCCCCCTCCCTCAGAGGGGCGCCCAGAACTCCAGAGCACCTCCCCAGGGCTCTCTCAGCCGTCAGCTGTAGCACGCAGCCTGGGATGCCCGAATGGCCCACTCTGCCACAGATGAAGGAAGAGAGGCCACCTAGAAGAGCCCCCCCCCCGACCCTTGGTCTCGGCCAGCCCCTACCTGGCTTTCTGTTCCTGCCTGGCACGGGTGGAGAGTGAGGGCTCAGAAAGAGAAAGGAGGCTCAGGAGCGGGTGGCGAGCAAAGCCATGCCAAAGGCGGGAGAGGCCAATAGAGCTGCGTGTGTTCTAGATCAGGGAGGGCCTGGCCCCGCAGGGAGCTTTGCCCAACACAGGCATCTGGCCCAACTCGAGATCCTCTGTGTGCCTGGAACAAGCATCCACTGAGGGGGACACGTGTTCCAGATGGTTCTAATGGGCACCCCTGGTTCAGAACCAGTCTTTCCTCTTGCTAGGAGTGGAGCAAATCAATAGCCTGAGTCTCGCTTTAGGGTTAGTGTGGGGAAACGCCCAGCTGCTGGGAGATGTTAGGCCGTCAGGCTGTTGTGCAGGTGGGACAGCCACCTGCCTCGCTCTCACTACACAAGGCAAAGGGCAAATGCCCAGCAGTGCTCCCAGGGTGAAGCCCCTGCCTGCATGCCCACTCTGCTGGGAGGACGGAGGGCTGCCTTCCAGGGCGGCGATGGGACCAGAGGAAGGCAGAGGAGCCAGGGTTAAGGGTTCCCTGCCCTCAGCGAGCACCTCCTGAGTCCCCTGGTCACCTGGGCCCATGGAGCCTTGCATCTGCTCCCAACGTGCCTTCCACTTAAAGGCCAGTAATACTATGAACCTCCTCATCCTCCGAACTGGAAAAACCTCCATCTCGGGGCTGGGCTTCCAGGGACTTCCACCTAAGTTCTGCCAAGGGACCACGAGGGTCAGTAGAGGCCCAGGTAGAGGCCCCCGCCTGCTCCCTGAGATGCAGGGAAAATGCCAGAAAACCACATCCTTGGCCCAAAGAGCTAACATCCAAGGGGGAAAGAGCAGGGATGCGGGACGACAAGCAAGCGCGAGGAAGACAGTTTGCAAAAGCTAGCAAGTGAGTTCCACCTCCAACATCGTTCCACTGCCAGCAAGAAAAAAAAGGGAAACGAGGCCACTGGGGACCACGGGCAGAAGCAGAGCTGGCGAGAAGGGGCGGCCCGAGGTGGGCGCTGCTGCCGCCTGACAGCGGGGTCAGAGACATCGGCTTTTTGCTGACAGACCTTGAGCTTTGCTCGTTCCACAAAACTCCCTTCCAGGGCAGGGATGCCGGGACTGGGGAGAGTGGATTTGACAGATTAAATTAACCAAACACGTTAGCCTGGGGTGAAAATGACTTCCCACAGTTGTCACTGGTTGAATCATTAAGGCACGGGGCAAAGATGTGGCCATAGGGCCAAACACACTTACTGTTTCCCTTTTAGGTTTCTTGCTGGCCAGTGAGGCGGGGTGCGCCTTTGATTTTTTAAAGGGACACTGTCAAGATAAAAATCATACGTTTTACGACTGCCACCCCCCAAACGGCGCTGGAGCTGGCGGGCTGGGGGCCTCCCAGGTTTGCTGGCCTCTAGGGGTGCCGTGAGCCTGTGCTTGGCAAGTGTAACCCGCACGTGAAGTCCGGGGACCTGGCCAAGTGCAGATTCTGCAGGGCCTGGGCCCAGACATCAATGCAACTCCCAGGAATTTTGCCGCTGGTCGAGCCCGTCCCTATCCCACTGCCCACTTATGGCCTGGGTCACCCCAAGAAGGTGGTCCTGGCCAGCATAGGCATGAGGCTGGCCAGGCGTTCCCCACGGTGGGCCCAGCTCAGCAGGGGAAAGGGACACCGCCCCCTGTCCCTCTAGGAGGCTCAGCACTGCCTCATGAACTTATCACCAATGTCCAACTAGAAGCAGCCGGGGCAAAAAACCAGCCCCAAATCGCCCCCACTCCTCAATGATCTTAATGGTGTCACTGAAGAAAATCTGGGATCTCTGTGGCACTACATGGAAACTGCTTATACCGGGAATGTGGCAGAGCACAGGAGCCCATTCATTCGGCTCCCTTAACCCTCTGCAGGGGAAGGCACAGGCCCTCCGGGACACGGGAAGCAAGCAACCCAAACCCGTCTGCCCAGTGGTGTGAGCGGCATCTCCGCTCTCTCAGGATAAGAGAGTAAATGTGGGAAGGTCAGGCCGGATGCTCAGACTCCAGGGCAGGGCCTGGGATCGAGGGGCACACACAAGGAGTAAGAAAACCCACCATCCATCCCCGAGCTCCCATCCCGCAGAACAATGACTCCAATCCCAGGAACAAATCACATCTTAGGGCCACTCCTCTCTCCACTAAAACTGCATTGCTGGAAAAAATATTCAGTGTTCGTAAATCCAGCCCAACACCAAATTCACCGGAGGGCTGTTTCGGAAGGAGGAAGCCCTGATACTGACAGGGACCCAGCAGGCAAAACACACAGTCTGGTTGGCCAGGAAGAGTGGGGGTGATGGGGACCCCACCTCTGAGGCGGCCTTGCATCTGCTCCAGGTACACAACCACGGCTTCAAATTTCAAAAGAGAAGCCAAAAATCTGAGTCTTAAGGAAATGTCCAGACTTGTAAACACTGGCCCAATATTTGGAATCACCATAGAGGCCAAACACATCACCCCCTGGCCCAGGGCAGAAGGCCATCTCGTGGATGCAAGAACCACAGGGTGTGGGTCCTTCTCCTCTAAGAATCACTGAGTCCAACAATGGACCCACTGGCTGCAAACAGCTGTGGCCAGCTGGGGCCCAGGAGCTGCAGACCTAGGGCTGCCCCTGCCTGTCCCGCCCACCCACGCCAGCCACCCCATCCTGCCCCATCTGTCTCACCGTGTCTCTCTGCCAATGTCTCAGTACCTACTTTTCTACTCTCATCCAGGTCTGGGTCTCTCTCCATGTCTCTGTGACTCTGTGTCTCTGCCCATCTCTCTCCATGTCTTTCTCTGTCTCTGCCTATGGTTCTGGGTCTCTTCGTCTCTCTCTGTCCGCCTATCTCTTGAGGCAGAAAGCCATCTCTCTCTCCAAAGCCCAAGTCCACGTTCCCTCACGTGCCTACAAGCTCTACCTCCCAGTTTCCCAGGAAGCAAGTGAGGTGGGTGGCTGTCAAGGCGCTCCCTGCCCCCCATGTCCAGGCTGGGCACCACCTCTCAGTGGGCAGAGTGTGTGTGTGTGTGGGGGGGGGGACATGGGACAGGCATCCGCTGGGCGGGACCTCACCTCCTAGAACCCACACAGTGGCCCTGGCTGTCTGGCAGGTTGAGTGACGGTGATGGATATTCAAATTTGAGGCAGGGTTGCATGCCATCAGATGGCCCTTGTTCTCAGAGAAACTACAACACTCTCGAGAGCTGGGGCTCACTGGGCCCAGCCTAGGTCACCCCTTCAAACTCACCACCACCTCTGGGGACCAAGGCTGGCCCACCAGGCAGATGAGGATGGAGAGAGCCAGCAGGCAGGGAGAGGCAGACAGTCTGGCCCTGCCTTTCCTTTCAGCCCCCAACCAGGGCCTCTCAACATGGCCCCACTGGGAACCTAAAGCCATCCTAACATGAAGGTAAGCCCTGAGGGCATCCAGACACCTGATGGGCTCTGCAAGTGGGCAGGGGCTTCCTCCAGACACCCTCCTCTCTGCCCCACACCACCCCCCCAACACAGAGGAAAAAGGCACTTACTGAATGCTCATCATGGTCCATGCTCTGGGCCAGAACAGGGCTGAAGGAGACAGGGGACAGGGCTCCCGGCTTCTTCCTCACCGCCCGGATCTGCAAAAGGGCCCGGAAGGCTGTGGCAGAGGAAAGGGCTCACATCAGGCAAGGGGCAGCCGGTTCCAGCACCACTGGGCCCCTCGGGGCTCCAGGGACATTGGCCACCTCCCCCTCCCCATTGGAGGTCCTAGAATAAGCTACGTCTCCAAATCAGAGGCAAACAGAGTCACACGAGAACGCCCAGAAGGGAGACAGGTGAGGCCAAGAGTGCATGACCCCGGTTCAGGCGGAACTTCTGGGGCAGCGGGCAGGGTGCCACTAGCCTCCCACAGGCCAAACCCTGGACCATGCAATGATGGTGCGTCTGTGTCACACCTGACGACCAACTAAAAGCACCCAGTGCGCCCTGGACACTGGCCAGTCTCTTCCTGGAAATCATACCAAGGGCAAGCAGACGCACGTATGTGAATGCCCCTGACAGGACGATCTCTACTCAGGAAAACCAGCAGCAGCAATGGGGAAAGTAAGTTAGGGTGCAGGCTACTGGTCGTCCTGGACCATCAGCTTCCCTAACAAGAGGGTAACGCTAATGAAAAGTGCAGGTCGCGCACGCCGTCAACAGCCGCACACTGTACCAGCACCCGCTGGGGCACCCACGTCTGCAGCTCTGATGGCGGCTGCCTCGGGCTGCAGGCTCAGAGACAAGGGCCCCTAGGCCTCCACACCCGGGAGACAGGGTCCGTGGGGAAGGCTGGCGTTCAGCTCCTGCTCCCCGGCTCCTCGCCTGTCCCTCACAGAGGAGAGGCTACTGGCCCTGCTGCCTGACCCTCCAGGGCTGGCACACCAGCCCCCTGCAGGTTCCCCACCAACCCCTGAGGTCTCATCAGGGCTCTGGACCCCCACCACCCCACAGCCTCATCCTCCACTGCCACATGCCCGGCCTGCCCTGTGGCCCCTGCACGCAGCTGTCTCTCCCAGAAGGACAACCCGTTTAGACCCACCCACCCCTTACTAGCTGTGAGCCCCGAGACAGCGACAAGACAGGTGTGGCACTGGGGGCCGCCCGGCTGCGCAGTGACTCAGGGGTGCAGGGTGAGGCACGAGGACTCCCAGGCGGCCCCAGGGACGCTGACTGGCGCACCAAGGGGTAAAAGGGCAGGAAGGCTTTTTCCAAAAAGCTATCCTTTCCCCACCAAATGGAAACCCACAGCACCCGGGGTGGGCTCACTTCTCTCCCGCAGCCTGGGCTCCCACACTGCCAGGACCCACCCACCAGCCTGATGCTCATTTTGACCCAGTGGGATTTGTTTTGCCCTGAGAATGTTTAGATTCCCTCCACCAGACGACAAACACTTGAACCAGAATTAACTTGGAGAAAATGTCTACAGGGTTCCCAAGAACCTATCCCTCAGTCAGCTTTCCACCTCACCGGGACTATTTTTTTAAATCAAAAAACATTTTCCACAAAACACTTCAAGACTGGATTTGCTGGCCAGTGTCTGTCCAGGTCCAATTTCACCACAAGCTCCCACCCGGCCACATCCTTCCCAGCCATTAACTCCAAAGTCTAAATTTTGGAAGATGTCAGCCGCGCACGTGCCAGCATGGTTGCCGTGGGTCCCCACCACCCGCACCCAGTATGGCATCAAGCTTGCTGTGCCCAGGGCAGGCAGCTGACAGCCCCCCGGCCCCACTCACGCAGCCGGCAGATGGGGCAGTTGCTGGCCTGGTAGCGCAGCGTGTCCGCGCACGAGTTACACAGGCACAGGTGCCGGCACGGCAGGATGAGCGTGTCCCGAAGGTCTGACAGGCACACCACACACTCGTTGCTGTTGTCACTGTTCTCCTCGTCTGAGGGCTGCAGGGGGACACCAAGGGTCTGAGTGTCAGCGGGTTCCCAAGGACCACAGGCAAGAGCTGGGACAGGGGTGGGGCAGGGAGGTGTTCCTGTCCCTGGCCGCCCCGCTGGCTGTCCCCTGCTTCCCCAGAGGGAAGCCAGTGAGCAGAGGAAGGTCCTGGTGGAGCAGCAGTCCTCAGGAGACACGGCCCAGAGCTGACCCAGCCTGTGCCTGCCCCAGGACAGAGACAAGGATCTGTGCTCCACCAAGAACACTCAGGTCTCGTTCTACTCATCAGAACCACAGAGAAAACACGGGAAAGACCCAACAGTTCAGATCATGTCCTGCACAGGCCACCCACTTACTGGGCTGAAACTGGAAAAATCTGGTAAGTCTAACTTATCTAATTAGCATCTGGATCAAGAGTCCACGAACAACAGCCCCACCACCTGTTTCCACACCCCAGGTGCGGCCAGAAGCTGGCTCTGCCCCCTTGTTTCCGAGTGGCTACGCTGTGAGTGCGTGATCTGTGCCATCGGGCACAGAGCGGATCCGACAGACGGCCAGTCAAGGTGGAAACGCACACGCAGGCCGCTTAGGGACAGTGGGCCACCTGCGGCGTGAGCGCACGAACACTGAGAGCTAGCCTCAGAGAACAGGGGCCTGACCGAACTGCCCTGACTTCTGGCTTTCAGCCGGTCCCAGCTGTCCCAGAAGCTCACGTGTTAAGACTTCCAAAAACATTTAAAAAGAGATGACAGTTTCCCTGTGCCTTTCAAAGGATGACAAGGGTACAGGCTGATTCTCTGCCACCCTACCCTGGCCGGGCCAGACCACAGCTCTGTCAGCCACACGCTTCAGCTACGTGCGGATGGGGGACAGGTCGGCTGGCAGGGGCAGCACTGGCTCACCCTGACGGGGTGGGAAGGGGCCCTAATGCCAGGCTGTCCCTCCCCACCTGACGGTTGGTGACCCAATGATGTTAACAAGTCAGGGAATTTGCTGGAAAAAGAACTAAATGCCTACAGACTCTGTTAACTTGTCTATTTATTCATTCATTATTGTTAATATTTTTAAGTCATCTCTACTCCCAATGGGAGCTTGAATCTATAACCCCATGATCAAGAACTGCATACCCACCGACCCCAAGAGCCAGGTGCCTCTCTCTACTAACTTTGAAAAATTAAGAAAAAATGGGCACCTGGGTGGCTTAATCTGTTAAGCATCTGCCTTCAGCTTGGGTCACGATCCCAGGGTCCTAGGATCAAGTTCCGCATTGGGCTCCCTGCTCAGTGGGAAGTCTGCTTCTCTCTCTACCATTCCCCACTGCTTGTGATCAATACCTCTTTCTCTCTCTCTCAAATAAGCAAAATCTTTAAAAAATAAATAAATAAAAATAGAACAAAAAATTAAGGTAAAATGGGAGTCTGGGGTCCCAGGGCCTCCTGGGGAAGGCACACAGGGGGACTAGCTCATCTACCACCAGCTGACAGGGCCCTGGCCAGGGCTGGGGGCAGGGCGGGGGCAAGCCCCTCTGGGAGTCTTCTTCCATGCAGGTGGAAAGGAAGCTGGGGAGTGAAGTCCTCCTGCAGTCCCAGCAAATGTCAGCACAAGCGCATACCTTCGTCTCCTGGTTGTTCTTGTTCTCGATGCCATAGATCTCCTGCAGCAGGTAGCTGACCCGGTCCACCTGCAGAACAGACAGGAATCTGGGCACCTGCCGGCTCCCACTCAAGGGCTCCGCTGCACCCACCTGGCCCAACACCACTTCCCAGGGGCTGGGCTCGGGTCCAGAGCAGGTGTGGTTTGAAATTCTGTCCACCTGCTCCTCAGGGAGTAGGCCCAGTGCTAGGAGAATAGCAGAGAACCTGCTTCCTGCCCAACCCATCCAGTACCCGGGGCCATGTGGTGGGGGGGGCGGGGGGCGTCCAGTGGTTCTGCTCACCAGGGGGCATGGAGCCAACTTGTATACAGGTCAGGCAACCGTACCCTGTGCCCACCTTACCATCCCCCTCCCCAGACAAAAACACTTTGGACCCACCCATCACCAGCCACACAAGAGTGACCAGAGTCAGACCTCAAACTATGTTCAGAAGTGGTATGTTCAGAAGTAGCCCTATGGACGCAAACAGACCTTATCAAGCCGGACACAGCTTGGGGCTACAAGTCAGCACTGCGACTTGGTGGGGGCACACACACACCCGATGCAGTAGACCGGACTTCCCAGAGCCCAGAGGATCCCTCCGGAGAGTGAGAGTTTATGTGTCTTTTAAATCAAAAGGGGCCATGATACTTCTTCTACCAGACTTACAATTTGCTTCTGCTTTAAAGGTTTCACAGAGAAGCTGCCGTCGACATGCTACAGGGAAGACAGACAGGTTAACTCAGTCACGTGGCGCCACTGAGCACTCCCAGCGGCAAGCTGAAGGCCCTTCCTTGGCCGTTCCACTTCCACCGCTGAAGGACGGAGCCCGGCCAGGTCTCTCCAAATGGGGGCCTCCGACTGGGCCTCGAAACTACCTGGAGGACTGCCTCCTGGGTCCTCCCAGCTCCCCGGGCAGGGGTCAAGCACACTCAGGTTTACGACCATCAGGCAAGTTCTGACAACAGCCCAGAGCCCCCAGCAGCAAACAGCAGCACCTGGACGGCAAGATCTCGCACAGCCCACTTCTAACCCAGAAAGGGCTTGGCTTCGTTCAGAAGACAAACGTGCACACACATACGTGTACAGAAAAGCCCCAAACCCTAAATACTCTTAAGAACTAAGGAGGGTGTTTGGTAGCATCCGGGGAAACACACCACCCAGAAGTCGAGGTTAGTGAACACCTGAGATCTTGTGACAAGGCCAGTTACCCCTCGTAATCCACAGAGACCAGCACGTGGCATCTGCAGTGCAACGGAGTCCAGAAGGAAAGCAGCCTCTCCTTGCACTCTAAACTAGAGGTCCAGATGGAGCCGGCCATCGACAGCCCACCCGGCCCACCAGAGACACAACCAACAGCCACCATCTCTTCCGACAAGGCCAGGCTTGGGGAGCACAGCTGGCGAGGGAGAGGCCCACCCTCTGGCCTAGGCGCCCCATGTCCCCAGGGGAACACGGGACAAATGGGCCACAGGGGCCTTGGGCCCAGCTGTCCTAACTACCCGGCGAGTCTGGAAAGACCAGATCACTGGGAGGAGCTGGGCGCTGCCCTCAACCTCTCAAGGCTGCAGACACACAATGGGCTGAGGAAGCTGGGGGTCTGCATGGGGTGCAAAGTCCAGAAACAGCAACCTGAGTCTGGTTTCCTCATGGGGGTCCCTGGTCCTTGTCTACCCAGGCCACAGGCTGGTGCCAGAAACACTTTACCACTGCAGGATGTGGGCCAATGTCAAAGAGCCCTGGGGGTGGGGGACATCTGTCATGACATTCTCCAACAGGGAACGCGCCCACTACCTCCAGCAAGGGTCTCGGTAAGCAGGGATCTCCTCCCAACACAGCCAGGCACTTGCCTGCTACATGAACACATACAACTGCTTGGGCCCCACGAACAGCACTGACAGGGAACCAGAACCATCCCTAGACCCCACGACAGCCTCATGCAGAAACGATGGTGAGACTGACCATTCTCTCCCCCCTGCACCCTACATAATGTGGCCACAAAACACGAACAGCTGGGGAGACTGGGGACTCGGGTCTGCGTGGAAGAAAGGGGCAAACCTCGAAGTTCAAATACACATCAGGCGGACTGTAATACTAAGTGAATGCTTACATGTAAATGGTCTCCTTATACATGAGGCACCCACAGGGCAAGGACTCCAGGAGGACCTGGACGTCTTTTCTCTGCCACCAGAGAGGGTCTAGAGCCACACTAGAAAAGTGGCAGACCCCCAACAATTGGTTCACTGAGCATCTACTGCACACCAAGGACACAACAAACAAGGGGCCCAGTTCCGTCCTCATAACACAGGAGAAGTAAGTACCACAAGTGTCTGTCCCTGAAGTCTGAAAGGCCCCAGTGGGGAGTGAGGTCAATGTAGGCCTGTGGCACCGGGTGACACAGCTACTTGGAGGCAGGGTAGAATACACCTGTGAAGACCAGGCCAGGCTGGGAGGTTCCAGTGGGACTGGTGGGGAAGGCAGGGGTCCTGAGAGGTGGTAACCTGGGTGATCCCCACACATCCCAGAGAAAAGCTGGTCTTTGAGGACAGCCCTCCACATGGGTGTCCAGGTCCATGTGGGCAGGTCAGAGGGCGTTCCCGAGGGGCTGGCCCCCTAAAACACACCCCCTCACCATACATCGCATGCCCTTCAAAAACCCAAAGGTGATGCTACCTCGAGGCCCGGCCTCCCAGAGCCCAGAGGAACCAGAAGGCCTCCCATCTGCTCCAAGCCTCTGACGCGAAGCCCATGTGGTCAAGCCCAGACCCCAAGTTCAGACTTCTAGTCTCAGACCACCGTCCTTCTACCCATGCTCCCTGGTCACGGGCACAGTAAGGGGCAGGATGGCACTTACCTTTTCAAAGGCGGCCAAGAGCACATGGGCATGGCCAGTCACTTCCACAACTGCCCGGGAGAGAGAGGAGGGAGTGGTCAGAGCTGGCCTCAACCCCTCCTCTGTCCCCTACCCTGAACTTCTGCTTCTTAGCGGGAGCTTCCCTATGCTCTTCCTAGCGGGTGTTTTGGAGCCCAAAACCCATGGGAGGATTGTCCTCATCTCGCCTCCCTCTGCCTGGGGGGCCTGCTGCTCCTGCCAGCCATTCCTCCTCCAAAGTCACCTCAAAGTGCCCCCTGCTGGCTCTGCACGGAGGAACATTCCAACACGGCTTAGAAGCCAGGACTCCGCGCTCCCATGCTCCCATGTCAGCCTGCCTCGCTGACAGCCCACAGCACGGACCCGCCCTGCTCCATGCCCTCTCCGCTGTTTTCTGTCATGCCGATGAGCGCGGACGCCAGAATCCGAGGCCTGGCTAGCTGTTGTCACTGCAGCGGGAGCCAGGCAGCTGGCAATTCCTGAGTCAGGAGAAGGAGCTGAAGAGAGGGCCCTGCAGCCCAGCCCCAAGACAGACAGTTTGGGGCTTAAACCCCATGGCCCTAAATGCGCTAAGTGGGCTGAGCCAACGTCTTTCATCACTTCTGGAATAAACTCCCTGCAGACTGCGGTGAGAAGGACCCATAGCCCGGAAGGAAGAGGGACGGAGAAGGGCCGCTCACCATCTCCTTCATCCACCACGGCCTGGATGACCACTGGAAACACACCCCGGTCCAGGTCGAAGTTCAACTGAGGAGAAAAGGAGGCGAGAACAGTCAGACTGAGCTGGAGGGGGGAGGCGCCGTGAGCAGGACGGTGACGCGGCAGAGCTCACAAAGACAGACAAAATGGCCACGGAAGACAGCTGTGTACCTCTTTTCCGTTTTGGCAAAACATAAAAAATGATTGAGATGGCAAAGTCATGTAACTCAGTAGCACTAAGTGCATCTGTAAGGCCACATTAACCATGACCACCATCCACTTCCAGAGCGCTCTCATCATCCCAACGGAGCCCTGTCCCCACGACCATGCACCCTCCCCACTGTGTAAGCCCCACTCAACTGTGCACCCACGGATTTGCCTGGTCTGCACCTTTCACAGAAGTGGGACGTCACAGCACGGATCTCTCCCACCTGGCTCGTTCACCGAGCACCACGTTTACGAGGCTCGCGCACGCTGCACGGGTGTCAGTGCTTCCTCCCTGGGCTGAATACTCCTCCACTGCACGGCCAGACCCTGCTCACCCATTTGCCTGCTACGGGACACCGGGGCTGTCCCCCGGGACACCAGCAACAGCGTCTGAGTCCCGGGCAAACGGTGTTCAGCCTTGTAAAGAAAGTGCCTGGCTTGTCCCCATGAAGGGCAGAAGGAAGGGGGCCACAGTGTGGCATGCAACTGAGCTCAAGGAAACACCATCCCCCTCACTTTTCCTTCTCCATGGCTCCCTGGCCAAAGGCCACTCTCCTCCCCACACACGTAGCCTCCACATCTGCTCACCAGCAGAGGCCACAGACCAGGACCCACAGGACAGAGGCAACCAGCTGAGGACACCCCAGGCAGGGTTGCAAGGGGAGGCCAACAAGGTGCCTGTGGGTCCCAGACTGTCAGGGGGAGACAGGACTCGAAGGAACCAGGTACTGGAATCGAGTCTGACTCTACCACCTGAGCCTCAGTTTCCCCATCTGTAACACAGGGCTAAAAGCTGTGTCTGGTGCATGGGGCAGCTGAGAAAACACACAGCGAACACCAGCCATGCAAAGCCTCAAATGTTCAGGCAGCAGGAGCTGAGGAGGAACGTAGCCCCGGAGGACCTCACGGAGTGACACAGGGCACAGACTCCCAGGCACACAGGCCCCTGGGGGCCCAAATGCACACCAGCTGCAGGCAGGGAAGTGGAGGACGTGTTCAGGCCCCCCCAGTACTCAGCCAGGCCTCATGCTCGCTGCAGCCTCAGGGGAGAGGCCTATACCACAGATATCCAGACTTTAAAGGAGGGGGGCCTCTCTGCAAGGCCTCCCTTGCTCTGGGGTGACCCATGGGGGGGTGGAGGAGGTGATCATGTGAGACAGGAAATACAGGTCACCCGCAGCTATCCATGGGACAGAGGCCCCCCTGCAAGCCTGTACCTGCCCTTCCCACCCTGAGTCAGGGCACAGGGCCGCGACCATCCCGCAGTTATCCTGGTGACGCAGACGCTGGGTGACGTTCAGGTGCTGCCCTTATGAGGGTTCGAAGTACGCCGAGGAAGGGGAGCATTCAGGTAAGAGCCCGATGGGGAGCAGAGTCCTGAACACACAGCCCGCTCGCCCCCGCACGTCGGGTCGGTTTCTGGAACAAAAGCCCTGTACTCCTGCAGGCCAGGTGCTCAACAAGCAGCCCCGCGCCCTGCGGAGCCGGGGTGACCAGCGCTGTCCTCCCTCTCACACCGAGTGCGGCCCGAGCACCCACAGCCAGTCGTGTTCCGCTGGTCTGAAGAGACCTGTATGGTGACCCCACCAGCAGCCAGTGACCCCCGCCCTCCTCTCTGGTCTCACGGCCCCACGGGGCGCACAATGGACAGACCCCGTCTTCCTCTCTGTGGCCAGATTGAGCTGTGTTTCCGCCGCTCGACCAAAACAGTCCTGCCGCAGATACCATCCGAAGGCTCCGCGACCGCGTCCACGGAGCCCAGAGTAGCGACCGACGCTCGGCACTCCTTCCACGGACTCAGCGAGGCCTGAGATAAGACCTGCCCTGGCCGGTGCAGGCTGCGGCCAGAGGACCGTGGCGGGAATGAAGGGACACAGAGCCCCGGCTCTCCCTGGCACCCGGGCCCGCGCCCCGCGCCCCTTGAATGCCCGGCCACGACAACCCTCCACAGGAGGAGCGGCCGCCCCCACCCGCCAGCCGGATACCTGTCCTGTGCTGCCATCGCCAGAGCTGCGGCCATGTCACACCGGAGGGACCGGGGAGTGTGGGGACTCGGGGCGAGAACCATCTCCCCTAAAATGCTATTCCCCAGAACTCTGCACCCGACTCACTCCCTGGAGCTGAGTACGCAGCGGCGGGGAGGGGGAGGGCGGAGACTCCCGCCCACCCGCGTCTGAGGGAGACGTTTATTTTTAACGCAGGAAGAGACTTCTCTTAGGAAAGAGCGGACATCCCAGTCAGGTGGAGAGCCGGGCAGCTGACACCGGGAGGGGCCACAGCAGGCTCTCGAGCTCAGGCCTCCTCTTCCACAACACAGGCACGGGTGGGAGCCTCGCTCCACGGCACCTTGGGCTTGCCCACTGCACAGGAGCTTCCAGACAAGGGTCTTTGCAAGCCCCAGGCCAGATGGACACCGGGAAATAGAGGCAAGGCAAAGGACGGAAGAGCAGGGATGTGGCTCTCACTGAAATGAATGGAAGCCCGAGAAAAATGGAAGGGAAACCCAGCAAAGAAGCCACTCCGGCCACGAGGCCATCTCTAAGACGTCCACAATATGATTCAGTAAACAAAGTTATGCATGAGTGGGGACGGGGGAATATGGGAAATCTCCATGCCTTCCTCTTAATTGTGCTATGAACCTGTCTTAAAAAAGTCTTTAAAAAAAAAAATTGGCACCTGGGTGGCTCAGTGGGTTAAAGCCTCTGCCTTTGGCTCAGGTCATGATCCCAGGGTCCTGGGATCGAGCCCCACATCAGGCTCTCTGCTCAGCGGGAAACCTGCTTCCCCCTCTCTCTCTGCCTGCTGCTTTGCCTATTTGTGATCTCTCTCTTTGTGTCAAATAAATAAATTAAAATCTTTAAAAAATAATAATAAAATAAATTATTTTAAAAATACTTTGAGAGTAAACGAGCATGAGCAGGGGATAGGGACAGAGTGGAGAGGGAGAAGCAGACTCCCCGCTGAGCAGGAAGCACAACGTGGGGCTCGATCCCAGGACCTTAGGATCATAACCTGAGCAAAAGACAGATGCTTAATTGACTGAGCCACCCAGGCGCCCCAATAAAATAATTAAATTAAATTAAAAAGCAAGCCACAACCAAGAGAAATGAAAACATACATCCACACACAAATTTGTATAGCATTGTCCGTTTGTCTCCCAAAGCTGGAGACAACCTAAACGCCCATCCACATCCACAGATGAACAGATAAACAAAACATGGTCCAGCCATAGCGGGGATATTACGGGCCACAGGAAGGAACAAAGTACTGACAGCTGCTACCACGTGGGTGAAGACATGGTGCTCGGGGACAGAAGCCAGGCACAAAAGGTCACACACTGTACGCGTCTGCTTATATGAAACGTCCGAACAGGCCAATGCAGAATGACGAGCGGCTGTCGGGGGCTGAGGGGAGGCGAGGGGAGGGCCTGCTGGCAGGCAGAGTGTTTCTTGTGGGGGTGACAAAATCGTCCCGCAGTCGGATGGCACTGATGGCTGCACCACTCTGAACACAGACCCTCTTCAGCTTACGACAGGGTTTCAGCTTGAGAAGCCCCTCGCAAGCTGAAAATACCAGAGGCTGGAATTGCACTTCCCGCGCTCACTTCCGTCAGCCTCCCACAGAGCCTGCTGCACTGGGAAGCACTGAGTAGCTCATGTGATACACTGAGTCCCGCGCCGAGGGAGAGAAACAGAACGGCAGTCAGTCCGTTGGCCGTCTCTGGTCATTTCCCCTCGTGATAGAGTGGCTGACCGGGAGCTGCGGCTCCGGCCACCCACACCACCAGAGAGGACTGAGCTAAAGATCGCTAGCCTGGCGGGAGCCCGTACTCCAAAATTCGAAGTATGATTTCGACCAAGTGTGTATCACTTTTGTGCCAGCGTGAAGCTGAAAAATCAAAGATAACCATCTTAAGTCGAGGACCATCTATCTGGTAAATATCACTGAACTGTACACTTTAAAAGAGCTAACTGGGGGGCATCCGGGTGGCTCAGGTGGTTAGACGACTACCTTCGGCTCAGGTCATGATCCTGGAGTACCAGGATCGAGTCCGCGTCGGGCTCCCTCTGACCCTCCCCTTCTCATGCTTTCTCTCTCACTCTCACTCTCTCTCTCTCTCAAATAAATAAATTGAAAAAAATGAAATAAAATAAAGAAAAGGGCTAACTGTGGGGCACCTGGGTGGCTCAGATGGTCAAGTGTGGGCCTTCGGCTTAGGTCATGATCTCCAGGTCTTGGGATCGAGCCCTATGTCAGGCTCCCTACTCCAAGAGGAGCCTGCTTCTCCCTCTGCCTCTCCCTGCCGCTACCCCTGCTTGTGCTCTCTTTGTCAAATACATACATACGTACAAACATCTTCCAAAAAAAAAAAAAAAAAAAAAAAGTGAGCTGATCTGAGAACACATTAGCTGAGGACCTGAGGACATAATCCGAGAAGGTGAAGATGAGGAAGGGGTCCTGGGATAAGTCCACATGAGACAGGCCCACGTGGCTGCCCACCACACCCTCTGCACCTGCCACCACCCCCGCCACGTCCACCGTGCCACACGCTGACAAGCTGCAATGTGGGCCCCTGCTGCGCCAAGGGAGGAAAGGGGGTCCCCCCATGTGGCACTTCAAACTGGTTTAATGAGCCAAGTGTGCCCCCAGGACAAATGACCGCACCAGGAGTCTGGAACCCAAACTGTCCGCCTGACTCGGCACATTTGCAAACTCGCAAGGATGTGTTCTGCGGCTGAAACGCCAGCCAAGGAGCTGCCCTAGGAGCAGAGGTCACCAAAGTGAGGTGCAGCCTGAGCCCAACCCTCCCCACAGGCGACCACAGGGTGGGGGTACCCACTTGTCTGCCCAACACCCTCTGCCTACCCAGCCCCCTCCTTTCTTTGGGGAGAGGCTTTCCCCCTTTCACAGGAGGGTGGGCAGGACCACAGGCACTTGCTGGGTACCCCAACCGGGAGTGTGGACATGCAGGGATGGACCTGACGGAATGGGGCTGGGGGCGAGGCTCCAGTGGCCCCATCCTTCTTTCAGCGACACAACAGCAGCTCCTGCTGCTTTGCCATCAAAGCACCCTGACAAGCACACACACAGCCGAGAGCAAACACCGTGGTGCGGCCTTCCCCTTCTGACACCATCCACCAGCCCCAACCTTCCTGCCCAATTCCTACGCCACCCATGCCCCACTGCCCCGTTCCTTCCCCCCGATTTATTTTAGTGATTTACAACTGCCGTCTTTAAAAAAAACTACAGAATTCCGCTAAACGAGAACCGCCTGACACAAAAGGCCACATATTGTATGACTCCATTTATATAAAACAATCCAGAAAAGCCGAATCCGTCCAGAAAGTAGAGTAATGTAGGGGCTGGGGCTAGGAACAGGGATGAACTATGCATGGGCATGAGGGATCTACTGGAAGGATGGAAATGTTCGAGAATTGGATTGTGGTGATCATGGCATGTAAATTACATCTTAACAGACCTGCTCCAACAATTCAGACATGAATCCAGTGCTGGCACACACACCGTTCACATACAGCCTGTATATGCGTGTGCATGCGTGTGTTCTAGAACTCAGTCCTATCCCAAGATAGGACATCTGTTACAGAGGTGAACCGTGGTGCCTGTATCATGCAGACCGATGGCTCCCACGACCTCGGTGAACAAGCAATCACAGACACACAGACTGTTTCCATTTTTCTGCTACTACAGACAAAGCTTCCATCACCATCCCTCACATGATGTAAATTACCGACCCCAGCTACGGAACCATGGGGTGGAAGGGTTCCGCCGTGCTGCAGTCCTGTGGCCCCAACAAGGCACCAAAGCCGGGTACCACAGCCTGTAGCTGTGCCGATACGTGACTTGAACGCCACTCTTGGGTCTGGCACACACCCAAGAGAGCACACGAACCCAGGGCAGCAGCCACTCCTGATGCGTATCACCCACATGAGGAATCTGAGCACACAGGCCCCGAGGGGTTCATCCCCTGCCACAAGGGGCAGGGAATTCCGGAAAGGGGCCGGGGCCAGGGCCAGAGGGGCCTGCCCAGAAGCTTACCTCATCATCCTTCCACTCGGAGAAGTCGATCTTGAAGGAGGGCAGGGAGAACTGCTGGCTCACCCCTCTCTTGTAGTGGGCGGTCTCGGACTGCAGGGCGGGGCTCTTGGGGCTGTACCTGAAGGGGCAGAAAGGCTGCTGACCCTTGGCGGAGAGCACACGGTCTGCTGTGTCTGGTCCTCAGGCCGCAACCCCCCACCCTGGAGCACAGGGGCCTCTGACGTGGGGGCTGGCAGGAACCAGGCTTTCGGGACCCAGCAGAAATAAAACATGCAGGACCCACACTTTCCTTCTCCTCCTGCAAGTGCCAACCATCCTCTGGCGGGCCGGGGCCCTCAGCCTGCCACCGGCTTCGGCGGCCTCATTCCGCTTGCCAGCTCTGCCTGGAGCCTGCCTGGTGACAAGTCCTCTAGAGCCCACAGCTGCCCAGTAACTACCTGCCTTTCCAGACCCAACTACACCTTTCCATTTGGCTTCTCTGACGTGTCTCCTCTGCTGCACAAACACGGGACAGACACGTACGCTGCGGGCGGCCTGCCCCACAGCCCACCCTCACGCGCACTGCCCGCCGCCCGCGTCTCTGCGTCACCCACAACCCACGCCGGAAGGCACAGGCGTCTGCTCTCCCATGTTCGAGGGCCAGTTGGCCCACAACCGCTCCCTCACTGTGGTCAGTCCCGGCGCTGTCCCGACCGTCACATGCAGGGCCCGTGCTCTGCGGACACTGTACGGTCTTCAGTGTGGAGCGAACACCAGATGGTCCCCAACACCCCACTGTTGCACACAAGGCCTCCAGGACCTCTTCCACATCCAGCCCAGCCGCACACACATGCACCTTCCCAGAGAAGGAACAATGGGGTCAAAGGGCGCTCACACTTTCCATTCTGACCAACTCTGGCTTCTCCCCATTCCCAATCCCGATCCGGACACACAACCCTGACAAAGCTTCCTCCACCTGCCCCACGCCCGCCATTCCTGAGGCATTTCTCAGTCTCTTAGACAAAAGACACTCTGGAAAGCCTGAGACGCTGGTGGCTGGTGGGGGAGCTGTTCTTGTATGCCCCGAGAGGGGGGAGGGGGGCTCCTCTGCCTGCCAGAGGCCAGAGGCACTTTTTTCCCTGTGAGAAGCCAGGCCTCAGCCGGTGGTAAAGATACAGGCTAGGACTCTACTGCCATTCAACCCTGGGCTTTTCTCTGGGACCTCAGATCTGCCCCCTTTCTTGCCTGTCAGGAAGCAGGGAGGCGATCAGGGAATGCAAAGAGAATTCCCAGGCTAAGGTAAAGGTCCCCGGGGACAGGCTTCTGGGTCCTGGAACATACCTGCTTCTCTTTGTTTCGGTGACTTCTGAGCTCACACCACTAAACACCAGCAAACTCCGAAGGGAAGCAGGCCCCCAGCCACTCCTGCCAGCTATCAGGAAGGGGACAGAGCAGCATTTCTTCCCCTAGGGGGAGGAGTCCCCCAGGGGTCCAAGACACAGGCTCCAGGGGCAGCTATACCCTTTGCTCATGCGTCTACTGTCCTTCTGTGAGCAACAGACCCTCAAGCATATGGCACCTCTTACTGTGCCCAAGTGTGACACACACAAAAGCTGGAGTGTGGGGTGGGTGGGCTGCTTGCCAGGTCCCCCTCTCTGTGGCAACCCTCAGACCTCACCCCACTAGCCAGGACTTCTCCACTGTGGCAGGCAAATGAGCAGAAAGGAGAGAACATGGAAGCCTCATCCAACCGTTGGGGCACTGTGGCCCTCCCACATGGGTCCTCCCACCTCCTAGTCAGGGGCCAGAGCAGGTGACCATGGCTGAGGACAAAGATCAGGCAGGCAGAGTTACAAAGAAAGAGCCCACAGGGCACCAGGAGGGCCACAGAGGGACCCGAATGGCGACATCAGCAACAGCACCCGCAGGCCATTGTGCTCACCTCTGGGGGGGAAGGTCCCCAGATACTCCTGGATCTTCTCATTCTTGGCTTATGGTAAGAACACATTTTTAATGGCTTGCATCACTGAAAAAACTAACGTAATCCAATGTTTGGGTCAGTATGGAGCCTCAAAGAAGGAAGTATAGGAAAAGGAACCTTGTCCTCTGGTTGCTGCCAGGGAGGGTACGAGTGGGGGATGGGTGAGAAAATGGGGGTGGTAAGGGCAGCCCCTCAGGGGCCCAGACCCCAAGCCCCGTGAGCCCCATGGAGGACAAAGCATTCACTCCCTGCCCCCCACCAACCCCCACGTCTGCGTTTTCTCCAGTAGCAGCAGCAAGGTCCTTACACCAAGTACAAGACGGCCGCTCCTACCCCCAGCTCAGGAAACTGAGGCACAGGCGGTCCCATGCCAGGAGCTGCTTGGCGGGTGCAGGGCAGGGCCAGCACCTGAAGCCTGAGCCCCAATCCCAGAGCCAATCAGGCCCTCCGGTGGCTTTCCCCAACAGGACCCAAGCAGGCACATTTTTGCTGGTCTGTCCCAGTCTCTGGTGCTGCTGAAGTTGCAGATTTCAAACCTGTGACGCCAGCAGGACCCTTATTGCAAATAAACCCTCCGAAAGCTCAAGCACACAACTCGGACACAGAAGCACAGCGGCCGGGCCGCAGCGCTGCCCCTGGTGCGGACACTCACACTGCCATCCCGTTCAGGAACTCCTCCACCGCCTGGCAGTAGATGGTGATGGCCACCCGGGCGTCGGCGTCAAAGGTGAACTCCAGGCTGTAGAGGACTCGGGGCTTCTCGCTGTCCTCTGAAGGGCTGTCGGCACCATCTTTGTACCTGCCCGGGAGGCAGAGGGACAGGCGGCAGGTCAGGGGCTGTGCCCAAGTGCCCCCACCCTGCGCGGCACACATGTCCCCACCACCACTGGCGCTCAGTGGTGGCCACCTGGAAATGTGGGGGCCCGCTCCCTGGGGGCAATGAGGGCCGACACCGCATCGCTGTCCTTCCCTCGCCTCCCGCCCACAGGAAGGGAGGAGTCGTCCCAGCTGGAGACAGCCCCGGATGCCTCAAGCCTTCCAGGTCTAAAGCAGCATCTCAGCCCACTGATGCTGGACACTGGCTCAGTCCTGGCTGCGGGGCTGCCCCATGCACTGCAGGGGCTGAGCAGCATCTCTGGCCTCTGCCCCCCACGGACCCAGAGCACTGACCCCCGAGCTGTGACAGCGGACACGGGCCAGCTGCCAGCTGAGAAGCCCTGGTTCAAAGACGAAAGCTCCACCAGCAGGGCCCTGCTGGCCTCTCCCGCTGCACCCACACCCCAGGATCAATTCTGGGGCTCGACACCCGAGGTTAGCAGAGCCCAAGGTCGCTCGTCGCTGCCCCCCATCCCAGGCACTAGGGGCCACAGAGCAGGGCGGGACGCAGCCTTACCTCACAAGCCGCAGGGAGTCCTTCCGGATGTTCACCAGGCTCCTGAGTGTCTTCACTGGCTCATGGGGGGCAGGGGTGACGTATGGAAACTAGGAGGGAAAAACCCAAAGCAATGCCCAGTGACTCCCTCGGGTGTGTCAGGGACAGAAAACAGGGATAATCGAAGCAACAGTCACGTCCGGACTCCCTGGCCCTTGTGCTCGTTCATGAAGGAAACCATGGGCAGCGCAGCCAGGGAGCGAGGGAGCAGGGCCCAGGCCACCCTGGAGAACTGTGGCCCCACGGATCTCACCACGGTCCTCCAGTTCCGGGAGGACCCTCGGCAAGCGTTTAAGGTGGCACAAGGGACCCCAGGGGCGGTGAGGGGGTGGGGAAGGATGGTGGTCAGGAAAGATTCTGGAGGGGACTTGCACACACACACACACACACGGAATCATCTGGAAAGTTCCGGCCTGCAATAGCACATCAGAGCTTTACCAGATGTTGGCACTGGGGAAACAGAGCGGAGGGCATATGGATCTCTCTGCATCACTTCTCACCGAGGCAGGTGAGGCTATGATGGTTCCAAAGTTTAAAAAATAACGGATTTATGGAGGTCTGTAAAAGCCAGATCCTGCGTGTGAGCTGAGGCTTCAAAGATGGAAGTGAGGTTGCTTTCTTGCTCTCGTGGACTCAGGAGGCTGGGGGAGACCTGGCACCACCCGAAAGCCGCACTTACACGGCACTCACACGGCACACCAGGCCCCGGCTTCTTGCCTCCTGTCCACTGAAGGACCAAGATTTCATATCATCCAGGTGCTCTGCTGTAGAACAGCCTAAAGACTCCTGGTCCAGAGGACATCCCACCTGGGATGGGGACAGGACCAGGGACATCCCAGGATTCAGCAGCCTTAGGGAACAGAGTCCAATGTCTCCTGATAGAGAGGGCCTCTGGCCTGGCCCCTCACCCACACTGGGGACCGTTATTTCAAAGTACAAAATACCCAATCTCTGCTTGGCAGCCCCCACCCCACCAGCCCTCACTCATCCTTCTCTCTCTTTAGTCTCCATTTGTGAAATGTTCTCTTCTTCATTGTCCACACCCCCTGCAGGGAATGGGGTGGGATCTGTCCTCCACCTCCACAATCCCCCCAGCCCGTGGAAGAGCCCTAGGCACACAGCAGGTGCCAAATGTGTTTTGAGTAAACGGACAGCATGGATAAGCGTGCAATTCTCTGGTGACTAGTGAAAGCGAACCTGAGGGAGCCCCACAGCCTGGACAAGCCCCCCGCACACGCACACACGTCCCGCCAGCTGCTCTGCCCGTCTGGGGCTGCTCCGTGCCTGCTTGTCCTTGAAGCTGGCTATGGACAGCGGAGGGGAGGCACCGTACCGTTGCCACCCCCGTGCCTAGCCCCAGTGAGACCCACCTGGACCCACCTGGACTGGGCGATTGCCCAGGAAATTCAGATCCATGTTTTCTCCAAAGAGGTAACCTTCAGGGTGGGGGGTGTCAAATTTCTCACCTCCCATGAAAAAGTGTGAGGCAAAGTAGTTTCCTGATTAAAAAAGGGAAACAAAAGTTGTAAATTATAAGGCTCGACACAGCCCAGGGGAAGCGTGATGGCCAGAGGCTCAGCCCCGAGAACAACCAACTCCATTTGGAAAGAAGCCTCGCAGGCGGTCCCTCCCACTCACAGCCGGGCCGCAGCCCTTCAACCCTGTCAACCTCTGCACCCCAGTACCCTCTTGCTCCCAGACCACCCCTCCCCGCTCAGAGGCACACCCTGTCCTCTGCTCCGCTATCCTTTCCCTCTGTGGCAGCCCGAGTTGTGTCCTCCCCAAGGATACGTCTCAGGTCCTCCCCTACACCCTTGTGTGTGAACTTAGCTGGGAACAGACTGAAGTACAAAAGTGGTCAAAACTCACAGTAAAACTCAGTAAAGTATCAGTACTCAGTATCAGTAAAACTCAGTCAAGTGACTCACAAAATAAAAGGATGTAAAGTACAACACCATGTATCTAAAATGTGAGGAGGAAAAGAACAAGGAATGGGTTCAAACTTAAGTGACCCTCAACTTAGTACAGACTGCTCTATGCAGAGGCTGTTACATACGAGCTAAATGGTAACCACAAATCACAAACCAGTAAAAGATACGCAAAAAAACAGAGAGAAATCCAAGTATATCATTAAAGAAAGCCCACTAATGGGGCACCTGGGTGGCTCAGAGGGGTGAGCCTCTGCCTTCAGCTTGGGTCATGATCACAGGGTCCTGGGATCGAGTCCCACATCGGGCTCTCTGCTCGACGGGGAGCCTGCTTCCTCCCTCTCTCTCTCTCTGCCTGACTCTCTGCCTACTTGTGATCTCTCTCTGTCAAATAAATAAAATCTTTTTAAAAATTAAAAAAAAAAAAAAAAGAAAGCCCACTAATCATGAGAGAAGAGAGCAGAAGAGAGGAATGGAGAAAAACCACACAAACAACCATAAAACAAGTAATAAAACGGCCACACATACACACACATCAATAATTACTCTGAACGTAACTGGACTGAATACGCCAATCAGAAGACAAAGTCGGTGATGGAATGGGTAAGAAAACAAGAGCGATGTATATGTGGCCTCCAAGAGACTCATTTCAGGCGTAAAGACACACGCAGATTGAAAGTGAAGGGGTAGAGAAGCATTCATCATGCAAATGGTGTGAAAAGAAAAGAAAGCTAGGGCAGCAATACTTAAATGGCACAAAACAGACTTTCAAACAAAGACTGTAAAAAAGAGATAAAGGACATCCAACATGGGCACACCCAACTACACAAGTTAATAACCACCGCGAGGGAAGTAACTGGTAATAATTAACACACTTACATCAATGGACAGATCTTCCAAACAGAAAATCAACAAGGAAACAGTGGCTTTGAATGACACAGTGGATCAGATGGATCTGACAGATCTATTCGGAACATTCCATCCTAAAACAGTAGAATACACATTCTTTACAAGTGCACAGGGAACATTCTCTAGAAGAGATCCCACATTAGGCCACAGCACAAGTCCTGACAAAGTCAAAGATCAAAGTCACCCCATGCGTCTCCTCTGATGACAACACTATGAAACTAGCAATCAACAAGAAAAAACCTGGGAGACCACAAATACATGTTACTGAAAAATGAATGGATCAACCAAGAAATCAAAGAGGAAATTAAAAAATATATATGAAAATGAAAACACAATGGTCTAAAATCTTTGAGGGGCCCCTGAGTGGCTCAGTGGGTTAAGCCTCTACCTTCAGCTCAGGTCATGATCCCAGGGTCCTAGAATCGAGCCCCCCATCGGGCTCTCTGCTCAGCAAGCAGCCTGCTGCCCTCTCTCTCTCTGCCTGCCTCTCTGCCTACTTGTGATCTCTGTCTGTCAAATAAATAAATAAAATCTTTAAAAAATAAATAAAATAAAATCTCTGAGATGCAGCAAAAGTGGTCCTAAGAGGGAAGTTTCTAGCAATATAGGCGTACCTCAAGAAGCAAGAAAAATCTAAAATGAGCACACCTAAGGGAGCAAGAGCAAGAACAAATAAAACCCCAAACCAACAGAACAAGAAAGTAATAAAGATCAGGGCACAAATGTAATAGAAACTAAACAAGTAACAGAACAGATCAATGAGACCAAGAGCTGATTCTTTGAAAAGATGGACAAAGCTGATAAACCTTTAGCCAGACTCATAAAAAATAAAAAGAGAGAGAGAAACTCAAAATCAGAAATGAAAGAAGAGAAATAACAACCAATACCAAAAAATACGAAGGATTATAAAACAATACTTTTAAAAATTATGACAACCAGGAAGAGATAGATAAATTTCTGGAAACATACAATGTCCCAAAATTGAAACAAGAAGAAACAGAAAATTTGAACAGACCAATTACCAGCAACGAAACTGAACCAGTCATCAAAAAACTACCAACAAACAAAAGTCCAGGACCAGATGGATTCACAGGTGAATTCTAGTAAAACATTTAAAAAGGGTTAATGATATTGAGATACCACCTTATACCAGTCAGAATGGCCAAAATTAACAAGACAGTAAACAATGTGTGCTGGAGAGGATGTGGAGAAAGGGGAACCCTCGTACACTGTTGGTGGGAATGCAAGCTGGTGCATCCACTCTGGAGAACAGTGTGGAGATTCCTTAAGAAATTAAATATAGGGGCGCCTGGGTGGCTCAGTGGGTTAAAGCCTCTGCCTTCGGCTCAGGTCATGATCCCAGTGTCCTGGGATCGAGCCCCGCATGTGGCTCTCTGCTCAGCAGGGGGCCTGCTTCCCTTCCTCTCTCTCTGCCTGAGTATCTGCCTACCTATGATCTCTGTCAAATAAATAAATAAATAAAATCTTCAAAAAAAAAAAAAAAAAAAGAAGAAGAAGAAGAAATTAAATATAGAGCTTCCCTATGATCCTGCAATTTCACTACTGGGTATTTACCCCAAAGATACAGATGTGTGAAAAGAAGGGCTACCTTCTTTTCATACCAGCAATGACACAATCGCCAAACTGTGGAAAGAGCCAAGATGCCCTTAAACAGACAAATGGATAAAGAAGATGTGGTCCATATATACAATGGGATATTATGGCTCCATCAGAAAGGAAGAATACCCAACTTTTGTATCAACATGGACGGGACTGGAGGAGATTATGCTGAGTGAAGTAAATCAAGCAGAGAAAGTCAATCACCATATGGTTTCGCTTATTTGTGGAGCAAAAGGAGTAACATGGAGGACATTGGGAGATGAAGAGAAGTGAGTTGGGGGAAATCGCAGGGGGAGACAAACCATGACAGACTGTGGACTCTGAGAGACAAACTGAGGGTTTTTTGGGGGGTGGACGGTGGGGGGGGTGAACCTGGTGGTGGGTATTGTGGAGGGCACATATTGCATGGAGCACTGGGTGTGGTACATAAACAACGAATTTTGGAACACTGAAAAATAAAATAAAATTAAAAAAAAATAAAAAGGGTTAATGCTTATTCTTCTCAAACTGTTACAAAAAAATAGAAGAGGGGCGCCTGGGTGGCTCATTTAGTTAAGCATCTGTCTTTGGCTCGGGTCATGATCCCAGGGTCCTGGGAGTCCCTGCATCGGGCTCCTTGCTCATCAGGGAGTCTGCTTCTCCCTCACCCTGTGCCTTCTCCCCACTGCTTGTGTGCACGTGCACTCTCTCTCGCTCAAATAAACAAAATCTTTAAAAAATAAAAAAACAGGGGCACCTGGGTGACTCAGTGGGTTAAGCCTCTTCCTTAGGCTCAAGTCATGACCTCAGGGTACAGGGATCGAGTCCGGAGCCCGGCACAGGCGCACTCTGCTCAGTGGGGAGCCTGCTTCCCCCTCTCTGTCTGCCTACCTCTCTGCCTACTTGTGATCTCTGTCAAATAAATAAATAAAATCCTAAAAATAAAATAATAAAAAAGTAAATACAAGAGGAAGAAAAGCTTCCAAATTCATTCTACAAGGCAAGCATTACCTGATACCAAAATCAGATAAAGACAGTACCAAAAAAAGAGAACTATAGGCCAATATCTCTGACGAACATAGATACAAAAATGCTCAGCAAACAAATCCAACAACATTAAAAAAAAAATCATTCATCATAATCAAACGGAATTTATCCCTGGGATGCAAAGGTGGTTCAATATTTGCAAATCAGTTAATGGGATATATCACATCCAGAAGAGAAAGGATTAAAAACCATATGATCACCTTAATAAAGGCAAAAAAAAGCATTTGATGAAGTACAACATACATTCATAATAGAAACCCTCAACAAAGTAGGTTTATAAAGAGATAACATACCTCAACCTAATAAAGGTCATAGATGAAAAACCACAGCTAACATCATCCTCCAAGGGGAAAAATTGAGAGCGTTCACCTAAGATCAGGATCAAGACAAAGATGTCCACTGTCACCACTATTATTCAACAGAGCACCGGAAGTCACAACCACAGCAATCAGAAAAGAGAAAGGAATAAAAGGCAGCCAAACTGGTAAGGAAGTAAAACTTTCACAATCTGCAGATGACATGACGCTATATATAAAAATACTGAAGACGCCACCAAAAAGCTACTAGAACTGATAAATGAATCCAGTAAGCCTGCAGGATATAAAATCAATGTACAGTAATCCACTGCGTTTCAGGGCGCCTGGGTGGCTCAGTCGTTAGGCGTCTGCCTTCAGCTCAGGTCATGATCCCAGCACCCTGGGATCAAGCCCCGAATCCAGGCTCCCTGCTCCGCAGGAGGCCTGCTTCTCCCTCTCCCGCTTCCCCTGCTTGTATTCCCTCTCTCACTGTCTCTCTGTCAAATAAATTAAAAAAATCTTAAGAAAAAAAAGAAGAGGGGGTCGGGGGTTGGGCGAGCCTGGTGGTGGGTATTATGGAGGGCACGTACTGCATGGAACACTGGGTGTAGTGCATAAACAATGAATTCTGGAACACTGAGAAGAAATAAAATAAAATGAAATGAAAAAAAATTAAAAAATAAAACAAGAAAAAAAAAGAAATCCACTGCATTTCTATAC